ACTAATTTTTGTAATGAATAGGGCCCACCCATCCAGTTGCACAATTTAAACGTTTATTATAGAAATAAACAATTAAAAAAATTATAAATAAATAATAAAAAATAAGTAAAAAATTAACAATAAGAAAAATAATAAAAAAAAAATCGAATAACCACCAAATTAAATATAAGACAAAAGAAATGAAAATTAAAATAAATTAATTAAAAATCAATTAATTAAAAATAAAGATAGATAATAAATAAATGTTAAATTTAATAAAAATTGTAAACTTAAAACATAAATATGAAACTAAAACTCAAATAAAAAATCAATTTAAAAATAAAAAAAAATAAACAAAACATGAAGAATTAAAAAAAAAAATAATAAAAAAGTCCTACTAATTAAAAAAAATAACCAAAATAACAAAAAAATAGAACAAATAAATTTAAAAAAAAAAAATAAAAAAACAAATAAGTAAGAAATAAGTGAATTTAACAGAAGTAAAGAGTCAATAAAAATTTGAGTTTATTTTTTTTATATTTTTAATTTTTTAAACTAAAACACAAACTAAACTTATTAAGTTTTTTTTTAAATATATATCATTTTTTACTTTTTTTTAAATAAAAATAAATCATTAAAAAAATTTTAAAAATAAATAAAACTAATAAAAATTAAAAATTGAAACGTTAAATATAAAAAAATTAAAATATAATAATAAAATAAAAGATATATAAAGTATTGGAGAAATAAAAAATAAACTTAAGTAAAAATAAAATCACAAATAAAAAAAAAACAAAAAAATAAAATAAAAATAAAACAAAAATAAAAAAAAATAAAAAAAGATGTTATGGAAATAAATAAAGAAAATAAGAAATAATATATAAAAAATATAAAATTTTAAAAAACCAAAAAAAAAACTAAATATTATAAACTAAAAAAATATAAATGAAATATTTAAATATGAGAAGAAGGAATTCTTTAGCAAAATATCTGCTGATAAAGGATTCTGTGTTATGAGATTCTCAAATGAGTATCGATCAAAAATTCAGAACGACCTCAGCTTTAAACCTGGCAAAATCAGAGATACGGCTACTGATCGATGGTAGGGCTTGAGTTCTGATATTTTAAAGTTGCAGAATTTCTTCCTTTATGTTTCAGGGCTTAGGTTTTAATTTTCCTTAAAATTGTCTTATTCAAATGACACAAATTATTCGACACCTCTTTTCTGTCTTTTTTAAGCATAAAATTCCAATAATTTTTTTCAATTGTCGTGGAATAATGAAGTAATTTCACATCATTGATTTTAGGCAATCTAAACACGATTTTCAATTGAAAAAAAGTGTTAAAATAGTTTTAGACATGCTTCCAACTAAGAATGGCGGTGGTAGGTGGTATGTGTGGCTCATCCCCCCACCCTGCTTTTGGCTTACAAATTAACATAAAATAGGAAAGTAGAAACAAAAAAGATTAAACACACACTTCAAACGTTATCTGCTGGCCAATCAAAAAGCGAACCATCAGGCGCTTTAAACCCCTTCCCCATTTCCCTCTTAAGGCTACTCTTTTTTATTTATTTTTTTTTTTTTTTTTTTTTTTTTGTTTCCAATGAAAGACTTTTTTTGCCTTGAAATCGATAGCGCTTACCCATCCCCCCTTCCTTTACCTCTACTCAAACGTTCCGGCTTAGCATTTAAATGATATGTTTGAAATGTTTATTAACAATAACACCACCCTCTAATAATATGTATATTTATTTATCCAGTGTGTGATGACTGCTTGAGTGACTGACTATGTCTGACCATTACCCCGTATCCATCTGCTGCAGCCTTCGTCGTCTCTCAACCAAGCATTCATATTTATTTTTTTTTTTTTTTCATTCCTTTCATATGAAATATGGGCGCTTTAATTTAAATCTATTCTCATTAAAACTGAAACCCGTTTCTCTTTGCTTCTCTCTTCTCCAAACTTAAGTCTGACTGACGTTATGTTATTTTTTTTTTCTTCTTTCATGTATTTCATTGTTTTGTTGTGGCCATTTACGAAAAAGAAACCCCCCAAAAAATATATAGCATCTTATCCATGACTGAATCTCATCTCTCACATCATTTGCAGTTTGCTTAGCTATTGTTGTTGTAGTTTCCGTCGGGTACTTTATAAACATATCACCCTTTCCAGCGAGCGTCATAGTCAGTCGTCATTCACTCCTTCACTGGTTGTATGTAAACAAAATAGCTTGTCCATATCCAAAACGAAACAAAAAAAAATTGTTTGATTTGAGATTTGTCTGGCTAAACAAATAGAAGTTGTCTTGTCTCTTTGTCCCCCTAGATTTTTTTCCCTGCCACATATCGGTAACACTCATTTGATGTTTTTTTTTTTTTTGGGGGGAAAAGGGGTCTTGTCTTGAAACACACACACGGACATTGAGCCAACATTTCATATTGTCTTTGTATTCATATTTCTCAGCCAAAACCCTAATTGTCTCATTCCAAGCTCATTTAAAAATCGTTTACTTTTTATAATAACGCTTCACAATGATGCTGCTGCCGACTACCTAACGGCATACATATGTACCTCATACTTATTTATGCATATCTGTGTTATTTCCAAAATTTTATTACCTTTTAATGTCTTGTCGGATGATTATCTCTTTGTTGCCTGTTTTTTTTAAATCAATCTGATCTGATTTTTTCAATGACTCGACAGCCAGCTGTTTGTTATACTGATGACGGGGGTTGGAGGTTATCGTTTTGATTTTAACATCAAAACTCGGCATAATTTGATCATAAATGTCTAATTTTGGGTCATATTTTGATGGGAATTTTGGAAAGTTTTTCTAATTGGAAGTGATTATAAATTTATTTTTTTTTTAATTTTTAGGAGCTATTCTGCAGGCCTCATATATATTGAGAACTTTTAATGGGGGTTCTAGGGGTATAAGTCGTTTTTTATAAATCCTTTAAACGGTAGACTTTTTCATCTTCTAAAGATAAAAGGCATTCGAGCGGGCTTTTACACCTAGGAAATCTTCCTCAGGTATTCTACATACACAAGAACCTTGAGAGTTATTCTATTCATTTAAATTCATCACTTTTTTAAAGGAAGATTTACTCTGGAGGTAATTTTATATAAATTCACCAGACAGTCTATAGATCTTCTTAAGATAAAATATACCTGTTGACTTTTACTGGCATTCAACACATAGAGAATGTTAAGTCGTCAGTAGATTAAAGTCATTCTAACTCTCGATATATTTGTATTTTATTAATACCGCCTAAAATATGCTACACATTTAGTCTCCTTTACATTTTCTCAATAAATAGAAGACAGTCCACAGAGGCCTTTTTAGGAAAGAAAGGTTTTTTGACCCCTTCCATTAATCTGGTATATTCAGGCCCTTTACACAAAGAAGACTTCTTATACACTTAGAAGTCATTTAGAGGTCCAAGAAAGCAGCCTATAGTTGTTCTTCCTTAATATCATATTAATAGATCCTCTATATGTAGAGGTTTATTAATAAGTCTTCCGAAAAAAATCCCAATTTATACTTTTTCTTTGTTTAATTCCGCCTAAAGTTATGCTACATATTTATTATCTTTTTTGTGATCGCCATAAATAAAAGACTTTCCAGCTGCATTTTTCATTCGATAGACTTTCTAAGCGTCTGCCATGCATAGATTATTTGTAGACCTTCTAATGATGAAAAACAGCTAAGAAGTGGTTTAGGGGTCTAGAGAAGTCTACAGTTCTTCTTCACATAGCAGACATAATTAATTCCTTCCAAATATAAAACAGCTATCAATATATTTTATGCCGCCTAAAAGTATGCTATACATTTGTTATAATTGAAATACAAATACAAGATGGTTCAGATGTCTATCACACATGAAAAGCTGCTTCCAGGCATAGAGTAGTTGTGTCTTCAAAATCTGGGACGTGGCTTAGATAGGGTCTTCTAGGGGTCTATGAAAGTCTACAGTTATTCTTCACACAGAATATCACCTTAATGTAGAAAAGGGATGCAGCATCTCCAAAATAATCTGGCCCATACTCTCGGAGAAGAGAACAAAGTCGCCACAGTCCTTGTCGAAACCTGATTTAAGACTTTTGGTGGGTATCATCACGGGTCACTGCAAGATAAGGGCAATGGCAGATAGAATACCCTCTGGAAGCCGTTAGGAAGAAATCTTCTAAGAATCGATTTCATTCTTGAGGTCTTATAGGGTTATTATTACCTCTTATAAATAAATAAAAAATATAAATAAATACCTTCAGGAAATAGGAAGAAAACCATCTGCCATTCTCATAGAAACAAAGTCTATACTATAGACACACAGAAGACAATCGATTCCTAGAAAACTACCAGAAGGTAATCTATGCTTAGAAGACATCTACAAGGTGTTTTGCTTGATAAAGACCCCTGTCAAGTAGAACACCTTGTAGATGTCTTCCAAGGGTGGATTACCTTTTTGATTTTTTTAGAAATCTTCTGGAAATAAAATACCTAGATTTCTTCTTGATAGAGAACTAACTGCAAGGCTCCTTGGGATAAAATATCTGCTGGAAGTCTTCTGAAAATAAAATGTCTTTTGAAGAACATTTGTGAGCAGAATGTCTTTCATAGATAATTATCTTCTATATGACTATACATGCTTGATAAAAGGTCTTCCAAAGGCCCTTAAAAAATATACAATCTTCTCGAAGCCTCAAAAGATATTCACCTTCATTCAGAAGATGTAATCCCTCTTAAGTCTCCCCTATGCAAAAAAAGCACAACTGACACACGATGTTTTACCTCCCGTGCAAAATTCCCAACTTTCCGTTCTAGCCTGGAACTTCTAGGTTAAAAGCAGATAAATCTGATGCTGCTCGACTCCTGTTTTATGTGCAAAGCTGGAAATTCAGACATTGAATTTTTATATCAAAATGATCTTATTCCTTTTTTTTTATTTTTATGAAGTAGTACTTTTTTATTTCATTATTTTTAACATTTCCTTCTTTCTCCTCTTTTTTCTTTACAGAAAAAACACCGCCCCAAGCCACACTATATGCGCCGGCAAACGGACATCAACTATTCGATGCGTACCATTTTGGTTGATTGGCTGGTTGAGGTGTCTGAGGAATATAATTTGGATACAGAAACTCTGTACCTGTCTGTATCCTATATTGATCGATTCCTGAGTCACATGTCGGTGGTGCGCAACAAATTGCAGTTGGTGGGAACGGCAGCTATGTACATTGCCTCGTAAGTATACGGAGTTTTTTTTTTTTTTTTTGAAAGTGTCCTTTAAAATTTATCACATTCCCTTTAGACCATTGATAAATGGTGGTTATTTAACGCCATCTCCCCCTTTTTTAAACTAATTTTTCCCATTGTATTTTTTATTTCTCCTTCCTCCAACAATTTGTCATTATTTATCATTGCAAGTAATTTATTTTTGGTATCATCGTCGTCATTGTCTTTTGAAAAACGATGTTATCCTATGCGTTTTTTGTTCTCATTTTCTTTAAGGATATATTCCCCTCATTTTTAAATATAATAAATGTTTTGCTTTTATTCTTGTTCAAAATATATCAGAGAAAAGAAATTCTGCAGTTTCTGCAACTTCTTACAAGAAAGTCATTTCTTCTCTAGTTTTTGCATTTCCCTTCTGGCCTGCCTGCCTGTTGCTTTATTTTATTTTCTTTACTTCGATTTCTTTCATTTTTCCCCTTGTTTCATTGGTGATAATATTACTTGCTTGTCATGCTTGTAGTTTATGGCCATGATTGCAATAAGAAGCTTTTACACTTTGTCCAACTACTTGCAAAAGAAGAGGGTTCGCTTTTTCCCCCTCCCTTCATCAGCATCATCATCATCAAGGATACAAGACTTGTCCAGGAGCATTGTTATATTCTTCACTACCAATTTGAAATTCTTCTTTTTTTATTGTCATCATTTTTATTCTGTTGGCTGTAATGGCAACATTGTTGTAAATTCTTTACAGCACAGCTACCACCCACCAGTCATTTTTCATGACCACTACAGACAGAGGAGTTTATTAAGTTGGATTTTTTTTAACTTTTTTTTCCAAACAAAAAAAAAAAAAATAATCAAGTTCTATTCCTTTTTGTTAGAATGGCTTGCAAAGAGGTTTTTTTTAATTTATAGTATTAAAATAAATTTTAAACAAGGATAAATGTATTGTTCGGGTTTGCCGATAGATGTATACCCCCAGCCTTGAATTATGATTATTCAAGCTGTTTACCCTTTATGGGGGAGTTTCCGAAGCAGTTGGTCAATATTGATCAATTCGTATCTGAACTAAGACTGATATAAATATTACAACCTGCCAGATTTGGACTATTTCGACTATTTCCTATACTTTATATGAGATATGTGCAAATTTTTGAGGTACCAGGTGAGGGTTGGCAGATATATATCATCTTCACAACAGATCTTGTGTTAACAAAAATATTTGGATGTGTGAAATTTGATGCTTTGGATGCGTTTATTATTCAAAAATCTTGATCCCTCTGTGGGGAAGCTACAAGAAGAAATGGTCCGATCTCTACCATCTTTATAACAGATCTTGCGTTGATGGAAATATTGAGATATGCCAAATCTGAATGAAATCGGATGTTAATTTCGCGTTTTATGATCTTCATAGATTCTCAAAATTTTGACTATTTGTGGGGGAGCTACTAGAAGGAGTTAAGCGATATGGCCCACACCAGACCTTGAGTTAATAAAAATATTGAGATATGTAAAATTTGAGAAGAACCAGATGCTTATTTCGGATTTTATTAACGTTTTAGTTATTCAAAACTTTCACCCTTTGTGGGGCAGGTACCAGAAGGAACGGTCCGATCTCTTTCAACTTTAAATCAAATCTAGTGCTGATGGAAATATTGAGATGTACGAAGTCTGAATGAAATCGGATATTAATTTCGTGTTTTATGAGCTTCATGAATATTCAAAATGTTGACCCTTTGTGTGGGAGGTACCTGAAGGAGTTGACCGATATATCCCATTTTCACACCAGACTTTGGATTAATTAAACTATTATGATGTGTGCAATTTGAAGAGAACCGGTTGCTTGTTTCGGATTTTATGATAGTTTTGGTTATTCAAAACTTTGACCGTTTGTGGGGGAGGTACCAGAAGGAGTGGACCAATATATTTCATCTTCTCATCAGACATTGGATTAATAAAGATATTGTGGTGTGTGTAATTTGAAGATGACCGGTTGCTTTTTTCGGATTTTATGAACGTTTTAGCTATTCAAAACTTTCACCCTTTGTGGGTGAGGTACCAGAATGAACGGTCCGATCTCTATCAACTTTAAATCAAATCTAGTGCTAATCGAAATATTAAGATGTACGAAGTTTGAATGAAATCGGATATTAATTTCGTGTTTTATGAGCTTCATGAATATTTAAAATTTTGACCCTTTGTGGGGGAGGTACCAGAAAGAGTAGACCGATATATCCCATTTTCACTCCAGAACTTGGGTTAATAAAAAAATTGTGATGTGTGCAATTTGAAGACAATCGGACACTTACATCAAATTTTATAAGAGTTATAAGTATTCAAAATTTTGACTCTTTGTGGGGGGAGGTACTTGATGGAGTGGACCGATATTGTCCATTTTCGCACCTGACCTAACACTGTTGCAAATATTAACATTCGCAAAGTTGCAGCAAAATCGGATTATCCTTTCTCTTTCTGTGCAGTAAATTATTTTCTTTGAAAATGTTGACAATTTGTGGGGCAGGTACCAGAAAGAGTGGACCCATACTGCCCATCTCCAAACTCGATCTAAGTTTGACAATGATATTACGATGTACCAAGTTTGGATCCAATCGGATGATCCCTTCGAGAGTTATCGTGCGCCCCAGCCAGCCAGAAAGACAGAGGGGCGGACGTATATCGCTAGATCGACTCCAAATGTCCTGAAACGGTATTGTTCCTAAGAGACCTAGGGTCTAAAACCATTATTTCTATGAGGCACGTATCTAGCCATATGGCTGATGGTCTAATTAAGAAATTTGAATATTTTGTAGAAGCTCAGGGTCCAGTTAAGAAAACTAATTTAAAAGAGGATAACGAATTAGACAATTTTCAAAAAATGCAAAAGCTTGGATAAAGTATTCCTGTTTAAAAAAAAAAATAGTTCCGCTTCTAAGAGATCTAAAAATAGAAAGTCTTCTGAGGTCTTTTATGCATAGCTGGCCTTTTGAAGAACTATTGCAAAATTTTTTGAAAATCTTCCCTTTTTAATAAATCTCCGAAGATTCCTCTCTAACCAAAGCAACTTTTTCTTGTTTCACATTGCCCTCAAATCTCCTATTTTGTTACAAGCCACATCAAATCGCATCTATCTTCTTTTTCATGGCTGTCTGTGTAACACAATCATTTCAATTTCAAGTTGATTTCACTTTAAATAAAACACGAAAATGATTTTCAATCCAATTTAATCCTTATTAAAGAGTGGAAAGCGCGTTTCGATTTTTTTACGAGCAATACGGTTCGGTCGTCTACTTTGCTTGACTGACTGGCAACAAAAAATAGAACAAAAAAAAACAACAACAACAATACTCCACTAAGAAGATTCCTAGTTTGATTTTACAACAGATTCCATGCTATTGATACTTGGTGGTGTGCATCACTGATTTGCTTTTTGTTTGCAACAATGGATGGCTGGGTGGATAAGTGGGGAAGCGGGATTGCAATGATGTTGATGATGATGCGATTCTGCTGATAGTTTGGTAGCTGGCAATGATGCGTTTCTGGTTACTTGATGTAACATGGAGTGTGTGTGTGTGGGTTCTTCCTCGAATAGTGATAACATTCTTTCCCTTTAAACTTCCCTTTTCAACAACAATGAACAACGAACGACTACACAGCAATTTGTTAAAAGTTTCTTTCCAAATTTTTTCACAAGTCAGGGGAATTTGTAAGGCATTGTTATTTTGTAAATTTTTGATAAATCCACTATGATCTCTTGTATTTAAAATTTAAATTGCTTATTTTCAATTCTTTCAGGAAATATGAAGAAATCTATCCCCCAGATGTCTCGGAATTTGTTTTCATCACTGATGACACCTATAGCAAGGCCCAGGTTTTGCGCATGGAACAAATCATTTTGAAAATTTTAGCCTTTGATTTGTGCACACCAACGGCCTATGTGTTCATTAATACCTATGCTGTGCTCACCGATATACCGGACAAAGTGAAATTCCTTACTTTGGTAAGTGTGCTTGAAATATACTCGCATTTAAATTTTAATTGGAATTTTCTTCCATTTGTTTTCTAGTACATTGCGGAATTGTCTTTGCTGGAAGCTGATCCCTACCTGCGTTTCCATCCCTCATTGATATCAGCTGCTGCTTTGGCCTTGGCCCGTTATCTCTGTAAGTTGCCAATATGGTCAGCTGAATTGGAGGAAATCACCACATATCGTCTGGAGGATTTGAGGGAAGTTTTCCTGTGTCTATGCAAAACACATGTTGCTGCTGCTGCATTGCCCCAACAAGCCATACAGGAGAAATACAAGGCAGAGAAGTAAGTGAATTGGGAAGAAGTTCATGTTGTATTCCAAAAATTGAGGTTTAGTTTGTAACTACAGGACTTCGTAGCATAAAAGACCTTTTGAAAATCTACGATATATTGAAGATCTTTAACAGGTTTTATATACATAAATGACCTTCAGAGGGTGTCTTTAAAAAATAGAATATTTGAACAGAAGACCTTATAAAAATAGCAAGTAAAAAAAACTGTAAGTTTGGCCGGGCAGAACTTTGAATACCCTCTACCATTTGGAACGAATTTGACTATTTTCCAAAAAAACAAGTTAAAAAGTATCAGTCGGTATTGCCGCCAGATATATACCCTCAGCCTATGTTCGATTATCTAAGTATATTTTGACTAGTGTTAAGATTATTCAAACGTTTGACCCTCTATGGAGCAGATCCCGAAGGAATGGGCCAATATCGCCCATTTCCTATCGGACCCAAAAATATGATATAAATATTTCGACAGATGTGCCAAGTCTAAATGGAATCGGATGTTAATTTGGCGTTGTATGAGCTTCATGGATACTCAAAACTGCAGTATTTTGTGGGGGAGCTACCAGAAGGAGTGGATCGATGTATTCCCCCTTCACACCAGACCATGGGTTAATACAAATATTAGGATGTGTGAAATTTGAAGACAATCGGACTTTTACATCACATTTAATGAGATTGTAATTATTCAAAATTTTGACCATTTGTGGAGGAGGTACTTGATGGAGTGGACCGATATTGTCCATTTTCACACCTGACCTAGCACTGACGCAAATATAAGGATTTGCAAAGTTGGAGCAGAATCGGATTATCCTTTATCTTTCTGTGCAAAAAATATTTTTTTTTTTTTGAAAATTTCCTTTTGTGGGGGAGGTACCAGAAGGAGTGGACCGGTATTGTTCATCTCAACACCAGACCTTGGGTTAATATAAATATTGGGATGTGTGAAATTTGAAGACAATCGGACTCTTACATCACATTTTATAAGAGTTGTAATTATTCAAAAATTTGACCATTTGTGGGGGAGGTACTTGATGGAGTGGACCGATATTGTCTATTTTCACACCTGCCCTAGCACTGACGCAAATATTAGGATTTGCAAAGTTGGAGCAGAATCGGATTATCCTTTCTCTTTCTGTGCAAAAATTAAATTTTTTGAAAATTTCGAACTTTTGTGGGGGAGGTACCAGAAGGAGTGGGCCGATATTGCCCATCTCCGAACTCGATCTAAGTTTGACAAAAATATTACGATGTACCAAGTTTGGACCAAATTGGATACTCCCTTCGAGAGTTATCGTGCGCACCAGCCAGCCAGCCAGACAGACAGACAGACGGACGGACGGACGGACGGACGGACGGACATCGCTAGATCGACTCGAAATGTTCTGAAACGGATTTGGTCCAAAGAGACCTAGGGTCTAAAACCGTTATTTCGACTAGGCACGTTTTGGCCGTATCAAATGATATATACCCTCTGTAGCCATATGGCTGAGGGTATAAAAATCCATTGAAAAATCTGTTAAAATCTTAAAAATACCGAATGTAGCCGTTATTACACCGATATGAGGGCTATACAAAGACGTGGAACTGCACAGACAATTTTCTGTCACAGGCTTTAGCATCCATTACGAACTTCAAATACCAAATTTGAAACATTTCCGGTGAATATTGTCGCTAAAATCATTAAAATACCGAAAACAGCGAGGTACCATTATGTGAGGGCCATACGAAGACCTGGACCTGCATAGACAATTTTCTGTCACAGGCTGTAGCATCCATTACGAACTTCAAATACCAAATTTGAAACAATTCCGGTGAATAGTGTCACTAAAATCATCAAAGTACCAAATATCTGGCGGTACCGTTATATGAGGGCTATACGAAGACGTGGACCTGAACAGACAATTTTCTGTCAGAGGCTGTAGTATTCATTACGAACTTTAAATACCAAATTTGAAACAATTCCGGTGAATAATGTCGCTAAAATCATCAAAATACTGAATATCGGGAGGTACCATTAAATGGGGGCTATACCAAAACGTGGACCTACATGGCGTATTTTCAATACAGAAAGTCCTGCAGACATAATATACATTTGAGTAAATTTTTATCAACCTACTTCATTGCGTTCAGAAGCTAGAGTGATTTCCACAGACGGGCGGATATCGCAAAATCGACATAACATTTTATGCTGGGGTCTAAAATGTATATTTCGAGGTATTTCAAAAGGAATGACAAACTTAATATACCCCCGTCCATACTATGGTGGAGGGTATATAAAACATATCAGGGTTCTTTTTAGAGTAGAATTGCTTCTAGAGCCCACTAGGAATATCAGTAATATTCAATATGACTTGGTATAAATTTCCTAATATAACTGCCAAATTCCCTTAAATTTCCTTCAGATTTAAAAATGTAATTCCCATATATATGTTTGTTCCTTTCCAATTTAAAATACTATTAAAATCCGGCATTCAACTCCTAAATATGAAAAAAAAAATGTTGTGTTTAATACAGAGGCATTGCCATTCATTAACACTTTGCCCACTACATTTCATTTGGCAATCCTTTTATGATTTGTGATAAATTACAAAAATCAAAGTCTACTTTTAGGCTAACATTTTATCTAATCAACTAATTTTAAAAATTACATTTTCTTTCCTTTTTTGTAGATTCCGTTCCGTCTCCACAATAGAAGCCGCCAACATTGATGACGAACAATTTGTCGAAATTGTTAACAATTACAATGAAAAACAAAAACAGGAACAACAAACAGCAGCAGCAGCAAATGGCGGTGCCACAGCGTCAACGCCAGCTTCTTCATCAAAAGTGAATTTGTTTTTTAAGTTTTGATTAAATTGAAAAAAAAAATGTAAATTTAAGATTTTTTTGTTTGTTTTATGTATTTTTTCGTTTTTTATTATAAGAATTTTTTTTAAAAACAAAACCCCCCCTGAAAAGAAAAAACATAAAAAGAACAAGATTATTAAGTATAGATATGTTTTTAAGAGAATATGTAATTATAGCAAAAAGAAGGGACACACACATGCACATGCACAACAAACAAACCAACCAATTAATATGAAACACTCCCCCCCTATTCCCTTAATTTAGACTCAAAATTTTAACCACCATCCACACCAGATATATAAATGACTGTCTTTTAAATGTAATTTAAAGAATATTTATTAATATCAAACAACAACAATTTTTTTAGAACAAAAAATACATAAAAAGAAAAAATCTAAACAAACAAATGGCAAATAAAACCACATGCCTCTTAAATGCTAAAGTAGTATCATCTCAAAAACAAAACAAATTCATAAATTTTCTAAAAGAACATTTATTTTTCATTTTTCCCTATCTATATTTTTTTACTTTATATTCTTTTTTCTAGACAAAATTCAAAAGAATGATTTTCTTAAACTTGCATTAGAAAAGTCTACAAGAAAACAAACAAAAAACCAAAACATTTTCACACTTCACACCTTTTACACATTAGCCCAGGGGCTGTATTTATTTGCCATAATTTTCCAAAAAAAAAAAAATTTCTTTTATTTTTTAAATAACAACAACAAAAAATAATTAATATATTTTGTTAAGCTAAGAAGACATGCAAAACTAAAAAAGACATCCCACTCTTATTCATCATTTAACCATTAAGTATTTTAAAACAAAGCCATATTAAATCACACAACGATTATATATTTTAATCATAATTATTATATAATAACAAACAAACACACACACTGATGAACCCACAAATTTATAAATATATATTTTTTGATTTTTATGTAAGAGAACATTTACTGAATGTCATGGCTTTCAAAATATGAAAAGAAGTGTAGCAAAGACAAAACGGATTTACAATTATTTATATTATTTTTTATACTGTCTTTATATTCTATATATACTTTTTTGTTTCTCCCCCCAACAACAAAAACAACTCTCTTCTTTTTCTCTATATTTCCCTCCAAAAAAAATATATAAGTTCTGTGAACACAATTTTTTTAAGAAAACAAAAATATAAAAGATCAAAAAAAAACCACAAAAACCAAATTTAAAGCAATTTATATTTTTTTATAGAAAAAAATCATTTTGGAATGTTTTATGAAAGAAAATTGGGTTTTTGGAAATTGATTGAGGAAGAAAATTTATTTTTCCCCCTTTTCTACTCTCTCAATAGAATCATTGGTCATGGGGTATAGGATCTTTTGGGGTCAGGCCTTCAATACAAAAAATGTCTTCTGGAAATCTTCTATTAATAGACTTTCTGCTGGTAGGACAACAAACTAGACATTTCGAAAAATAAATTGAACAAAACTCTTCTTCTTTTGCTCTCTATTTCCCTCAAACAAAATAAAAGTTTTGGGAAGACAATTTTTTCAGGAAAAAAAAAATCAAAGAACAAAAGTCAAATAAGTTTTTTATAAAAGAATAATTTGGATGCCGTTTTTATATTCATAATCCGCATAAAATTCTAAGTCGATTTAATGATGTCTGTCCGTCTGTCTGTTGAAATCACGATACAGCCCACATTATTTGACGTAGACCTTCAAAATTTGGCAGAACAATTTGTATTGTGTTTAGGATGGTTGGTATTGAAAATGAGATATATCGGTCCACGTTTTGATATAGCCGCCATATAACGGAACCTCCCAATATTCGGTATTTTGATGATTTTAGCCACATTTTTCCACGGAAAATTGATATTTGTAGGCCATAATGGGTTCTAGCTCCGGTGGCGAAACATTGTATATAAAGGTCCACGATTTTGTATAGCCCCCATATAACGATACCTCCCAACATTCGGTATTTTGATGATTTTTGCCGCATTTTTCACGGATTTGTCTAAAATTGATATTTGTAGTTCATAATGGGTTCTAGCTCCGGTGGCAGAACATAGTATATATGGGTTCACGTTTTGGTATAGCCCCCATATATCGGTACCTCCCAATATTCGGTGTTTGATGATTTTTGCCACATTTTTCCAAGGATTTGTCTAAAAATTGATATTTGTAGGTTATAATGGGTTTTAGCTCTGGTGACGAAACATTGTATGTATAGGTCCACAATTTTGTATAGCCTCCATATAACTGTACCTCCCGACATTCGGTATGTTTGATGATTTTTGCCACATTTTTCCACGGATTTGTCTAAAAATTGGTATTTGTAGGTCATAATGGGTTCTTGCTCCGGTGGCGAAAAAATGTATGTATAGGACTGCGTTTTGGTATAGACCCCATATAAGGTACCTCCCAATATTCGGTGTTTTGATAATTTTTGTCACATTTTTCCACGGATTTGGCTAAAAATTGGTATTTGTAATGGGTTCTAGATCCGGTGGCCGACGTTTCCTATATATATTATAGTGGAACACGTTTGAATCCAGATACTTTTATATAAAATTGTTTTCTTTATCCAATGGGAGAGGGTATTAAAAGTTCGGCTTCTTATTATTAAGAGAAAGATATTGAAAATGAATTATATCCACAAGGTGAACATTTAGAGCTCAAAACAAAAATTGGGGGATTATTTTTTTTTTGTTTGTTAATTTTTCAATTTATTTTCAAGATTATCATGAAAAAAAAATTTGCAGGGACTGAAAACATAGACTAATGAATATGTAGACGATTGATGGAATTGTTTATTTCCATGTGGCATAGTCAAATACCTATTGAGTCGGTCGAAGAATTGCACTTTTCGGTATTATGCACCTTCATTGGATAATTAAACAGTTTTCAACATAAAATATTCTAAAATATTTGATATTTTCAAAATTTTAGACTTTTAGAAACACACCCCAGAAAAGACATAGCATCTGGCATCTGTTGATGCGATTTTGTCGAAAATAAATTATGACTGTATTCCGTTGGCTATATATTCATTAGCTTATGATAAAAGGTTTTATTCCCTTAAAAAATGCGCAGCGCAAAAATTCCTGTGAGAATATTCGGGAATGTCCAATTGATTTTTTCTTCTTTTTTTTGTTAATGGGCACCACTAGCCCACAAGTTTTAATTTACACATATATTTTTATTTTTTATTCCAATGAAAGTTTAATAAAATTGAGCTCGAGGTCTTTTTTGTTTTTTTATATTATTTTTTTCGATATTTCGTCCTCCGACGGAAGACATCATCAGGAACAATATTTAACATATAACAAAAATTTTCAACATTTCGCCAAGTACCGACGTCGACCTTGTGTTGCTGTCATCTGTTTTGTCACTCACCTTGACAGAAACACAAGGTCGACGTGTCGGTACTTTGCGAAATGTTGACAATTTTTGTTATATGTTCCATATTGTTCCTGATTATGTCTTCCGTCGGAGGACAAAATATCGAAAATAATAAATAAATATTATAAAAAAGCAACAAAGACTCCGAGCTCAATTTTATAAACTGACGTTGGAATAATTTAAAATAAAGGTCGAATAAAATATCTAAAAATCAGAAAATTTTTATTTTTATTTTTATTTTTTAAATATGAAAGGTATTCCCTTTATTTTATTCATCCAACAAACATGACGCTTATTATTTTATATACTTTTTCTTTAAACAAGTGACACGAAAACACACACACGCTACGTCGGTTTTTTAAATATAATTTCTTTTAATTATTTAAATTAAATATAATGCCATAATAATTATTTATTAAAAAAAAAACACAAAATGACATAAAAGACATTTTAAACTAACCCCAACTAATGTAAGTAAAATAATAAAAAAATAATATATTAATCTCCAACATATTACATTTGAGGTTAGGTCGTTCTCATCATCATAACTTTGATGATGGCAAATTCCATAAAATATTTGTTAAAAGATATATAAGTTTCCTTTTTTTAGAATTTTTAGTAAATTTTGTATACCACAAAACAGAGAGCGAACAAAAACAAGAACAAATAGTTATGTAATATATATAGTATAATAACACATATATACAATAAAATATAATATATATACATAAACCTATAACCAATAAAGAAACATTGAATGCACTTTGAAGAGAATTTTTTGCCGGATTATTATTTTATTCTTTATTCATTAAATTGAGGGGCCAATAATAAAAAGATTTACAATTCAGAAACAGAAATGACTTCGATTTGATAAAGAAATTCTCATTATTGTAGGATATCCCATTCGGGTTCGAGGGAGTTATTTTATCGATAAATTGAAAACAAATAATAATTGATATCCCCCTACATCTCAGAATTTTAATAGATACCCCTATAAACCAAACAGTAAAAAAACATTAACTTCGGCCGGGCCGAATTTCCAATACCCTCTACCCTTGGGAAAACATTTTTATATAAAAATGTCTGAATTCAAACGTTTTCCACTTTAAATAAAAAATACCAGTAAGATCATTTGGATAATGCTGCTAAACTTTTCAAAAAAAAACATAAAGTAGGTGAGTCCGTTATATGGGGGCCATACGAAAACGGGAACCTCGAGATAAAAAAAAAAACTGCGCAACAAAGTCAAACGGCAAATTTTTACTTAAAAAAAAAAAAATATTGAATGAAAGCGAAAAATTTCGGCAATAGCATCAAATTTGAGAATAAGTTTAGATTTGTTCGAATTGGTCACCTTTGGCACGAATTATGGCCTTCAAACGGCCAATGTCACACGCTGCCCAAATATTGCTCTGCGGTTTTTTGGCTCATTCCCGGCGCTTGCTTGAGGTGATCAACATTTTGGTATTTTTTAGTGCCAACCTTGCTTTCCAAAATACTCCAGACACATTAGTCCAACGGATTGGTATCCGGAGATTTTGGTGGCATTGTGCGCTGGAAATGAAGCGAGGAACCTCATTTTGTACCCATTCTTGGGTAGCGCGTGCTGAGTCCTGAGCCCTGTTTGAATGTCCAAGGTCTGCGGCCAAAATGTTTGAGTGCCCAAGGCTCTAATACACCCTCCAGAATATTTTCGCAATAATATTCTACATTTATTCTGATGTCACGGGCGATTAATAGCGAGCGGAGAGCAACCATTGGCTGTTATGGCGGCCCACACCATCACACAATGGCCGGCGCTTGAGTTCTGGTGGCCAACCGAAGGTGGACATTTTCAGCTGACCTCTTTGGCAAGTAAACACGATCATTTTGTTTGTTTACAAACTGCTGGACAACGAATGTTTTCTCATCGGAGAAAACCAAATTCGGAAGTTCACCACTTTCGCCCAGGCGAAGCAACTCTTTAGCTCCTTTTGAGTCTATTTTCTATCTGTTGCGGTTCTTGCACTTTTTGGAATTTCAATGGCTTTACCACCCCGAGCTGATTTTTCCTTTGCTCATTTGACGAATGGAATTTTGCAATATGTTCAGCTCAAGAGCCATTTTTCGGCCATTGCGACGCGGGTTTCGATCAAGTTGCTTCTTTACTTTTCGGATCATTTCTGCTGATGTTGCTGTTTTCTTTCGTCCACTTTCTTGACTTCGGGCTATTCTACCAGTATCACGGTAAGGAGCGATGGTACGAGACACAAAAGATTTATTCACATTTAAATGCTGGAGCGCTCTAACGATAGCCACTTGTGGTTTTCCAGCCAAATATAAAGAAATCACACTATCACGCTTGAATTCCATCACGAATAACTTTTTTTCTGGAAAATTCTCACCAAAATCCTTTTGTACGCTTGTAAGCAATATAATGAGCTGTCACTGGAATAACAGCTGTCGGATGAGTGGCTTAGAAATGACAGCAGTCTGAAATTGGTTGCAGTTTTTTATCTCAACCTGTTTTTTTATAACTCCCTAAAGCACTTGTTCAAAATTCCCTTCCAATATTTTTTTACCTATTTGCTTTGACATTGAATGGCAATATTTTTATCACAAAGTACATATTTTCAAAATCGACAAGGAATTGATTTTGGTTTATGTAAAGCATTTCCATGCCATCAAAACCTATACACCACTGTTGTCATTGTTCTGTCAAATTGTTCCCAAAACAATTTGTGAATTTGTTTAACCTGTAATTTGTATTCGTGTGCCACTAATTCAAAATTCATTTTATTCCGGTAGACCTGCAGGCGGCTTTACTACGAATTTCATTGATTGTGGTTTTAAAAAAATCGAAAATAAATTGAAAGTTTTTTTTTGTCAATATGGGAATACATTAAAAAAAGAATTATTAAATTGTTTTTTTTTTTTTTTTTTTTTTTTTTTTGTACAGGGGTTGCTATTCAGGGGATAGCTCGGATTAGAATATTAAAAAGTTTCAGTTACACTGGATGTATTCAAAGTATTGTCGTTAAGTTCTAACAAGTAAAAAAGCTGTAAGTTCGGCCGCAAATTTGAATATCCTCCACCATTTGGAATGAATTTTATTTTTTATCTCCTTACTTCTCAATTTGTTTATCTCTCCTAAACCCCATTATAAAACACAATACTTTGTTTATTTTTCTCACATTTTAATTTGTTTCTCATGTTTATTGTTTGTTCTCAAAACAAACATATGACAGCTAATAATCAAATGTTTTTTTTTATAATTTGGCTTCTTAGAAGAAAATTAAATGTTCAAATTCAAATTTTTTACAACAATTGATGAGTGACTACTTAACAAAATGCAATTCATTTTAACTAAATTTTAAATTAAAAAAAACCTTGCTTGTTACTTCCAAAAATATATATGCCTGAGTAGTGCTAAAGCATAACAGTGACCACCGGCCCAGCATAAATATGGAGTGGTGTGCTTAACCAAAAATTTGGCGGCGACTGACATTTGTATAAGAAAAACACACTCAGACTGACTGGTGGCCACAGTTTAATAAGCAAAACGAGTATCGGGGTGATAGCCCAGAGCATCAAGGGCGGGATTACAGGCGAAATTGATCATTGGTGGTGGGCCACACATCAGGGTAATGGTTGAATCGTCGGCAGGGAATAGATGAACCTTAACCATGTTTTCGTTGACAAAACCCACGCCATAGGGCCAGCCTGAAAAAGAAAGAGTCATAGAGAATTGTATGAATGTTTTTAATCTTAAAAAAGTTATAATTTTGAATAAATAAAAAAATACAAATATTTTGTTGTTCGTGAGCAATTCTAGGTTTCTTTTCTGTAAGTTAAAAATTGTAATGAGATCGCAAAGGAAAAAATACAGGGTGAGATGAAAAAACTGCAAGTGGCTACCAAAAAACCAAATTCGGCAGTTCAACACTTTCGGCCAAGCGAAGCAACTCTTTAGCTCTTTTGAGTGTATTTTCTTTCTGTGGCGGTGTAAGTTCTTGCACTTTTTCGTTTCAATTTCAATGGCTTTTCCCCGAGCTCATTATTAAATATTTGCCGAATGGAATATTGCGATATGTTCAGCTCACGAGCCACTTTTCGGCCACGCAGGTTTCGATCAAGTCGCTTCTTTACTTTTCGAACCATTTTCTGCTGATGTTGCTGTTTTCTGTCCAGCTGTCACTGGAATAATTTTAACAGCTGTCGGACGAGTGGCTTAGAAATGACAGCAGTCTGAAGTTGGTTGCAGTTTTTTTATCTCACCCTGTATATCATCCACGAACAAAAATATAATCCAAATCATTTTTATTTTTGCAGCTCATCTTATACTTGCAACAATACCTTTTTCAAAATCCCCATTTATGTACACATATGCAGCTTGTTTCAAATAAACAGAAAACTCAACAAAAAAAAGACATTTGAAAAAAGGAATTCACAAAATTATTTGCTACACATTTTCTAAACATTTGCATTAATTAGTTAGTTTCTGCTTTTTTTCCATAGACATTCTATTATCCTATAGTTCTTGCTTTTGCAACACGCTTCCGCTGCATCTATTTTGTATACTAGACTAGTTGGAATTGCCATATATTCGCCGCGGAAGTTTAGTAACTAAAACGATTATCACTGTGATGACCCAGCCGCTCCAGTCCCGGTATACATGTATAATTAACCATAGGCGGTGGTCCACACAATAAACACAAGGTATCGGGGCTAGGTGGGAATAGATGCTCTTTCATCATGTCATCGTTGACATAGCCAATGTTATAGGACCAGCCTATACGTTTACGTCGTGGCGTCCGCATTAGTTGGGCAGCATTTTCAAAAGTTTGGTGGGGTGGTTAAAAAGAATCACAAGAAAATTTGAAGGATATTTTTTATTGTCTCTTTAGGTGGAAGGAGGAGGAGATTCATGTTTTTTTTTTTTTTATGGAGGAAAATTTTAATTTAAAAGTAAAAATAAGAAATCGAGATAAAAACTACAAAGGGGAAAAAATAAAATTAAAAAATCCTGAAGATTTATAAGAACAAACTGGGAGTGCATCAAAACCCTCTATTGTCCATTTGTACGACCGTTGGTTTAGATTTTTATTGTCTCTTTTGGGTGGAATAAGGAGGAATTTCATATTTTTTTATAAAAAAAAAATGAAGTTTTAATTTAAAATTAAAAATAAGAAATTCAAAAAAAAAACTTCGAGAGAAAAAAATGAAATGAAAAATCCTGTGAAGAATTATGAGAACATTCTTCGAGTGCTCTACTGACCTTTTGTACGATCGTTGGTTCAAATTATTTTTTTGAAAGAACAAATCTTTACTTTCACAGCAGATGGCTTTGGGACACCTGTAAGACCTGACCTTAAGAACTTTATGTTAGTTGGATCTCTTTTCCCTGAGAAGACCCTCCCTTACATTATTTATATAGTGACCACATTTAAATCAAATCTCTTAAATTTAAAATAAAATATTCCATATAGCATCTTCACAACAGATCTTGTAGCAAAAATATTTGGATGTGTGAAATTTGAAGAGATTTGGATGTTTACTTCGCTTTCTTTGAGCGTTTTGTTTTTTGCAGAACCTGGAACCCTATGTGGTTGAGGTACCAGAAGATATGGTCTGATCTCTAGCATCTTTATAACAGATCTTGGGTTGATGGAAATATTGAGATGTGTCAAGTCAGAATGGAATCGGATATTAATTTCGTGTTTTATGAGCTGCATTGAAATTCAAAATTTTGACCCTCTGTGTGGGAGATACCAGAAAGAGTGGATCGACATATTTCATTTTCACACCAGATCTTGGGTTAATAAAAATATTGAGTTATGTGTAACTTGAAGAGAACCGGATGCTTATTTTAGATTTTATGATCGTTTTGATTGTTCAAAACTTTCACCCTTTGAGGGGGAGGTGCCGGACGGAATGGTCCGATCTCTATCATTTTTATAACAAATCTTATGTTGATGGAAATATTGAGATGTGTCAAGTCTGAATGGAATCAAATGTTAATCTCTGATTTTTGAGCTTCATGGATACTCAAAATGTTGACCCCTTTGTGGGGGTGGACCGATATATTCCATCTTAACACCAGACCTTGGGTTAATAAAAATATTGAGATGTGTGTACTTTGAAGACAATCGGACATTTACATAACATTTTATAAGAGTTATAATTATTCAAAATGCTGACTCTTTGTGGGGGAGGTACTTGATGGAGCGGACCGATTTTGTCCATTTTCGCACCTGATATATAACTAATGCAAATACTAGGATTTGCAAAGTTGCAACAAAATCGGATTATCCTTTCTCTTTCCGTGCAGTAAATTATTTTCTTTGAAAATGTTGACATTTTGTGGGGGAGGTACCAGAAGGAGTGAACCGATATTGCCTATCTCAGAACCCGATCTAAATTTGACAATAATATTACTATTTACCAAGTTTGGACCAAATCGGTTCACTCCTTCGAGAGTTACCGTGCTCACCAGCCAGACAAATGAAGGGACGGACATCGTTCGACTCCAAATGTCCTGAAACGGTCGTTATTTCGATGAGGCACTTTTGGCCGTATTTACTTATATATACCCTCTCTAGCATATGGCTGAGGGTATATAAAAAGAAATAATTTTGACAAGAATGTTTGGGAACTTTTTAACAATTAATCTTCGACTTAGGATTCTCGACTTTCACTGATTGGTGTTCAGGTTAAGAATAAATTTCTGAAGTTACTAAAAGTAGCTCCCAATTTAAAATAGGCTATAGTCGCCAAAGACGATTTTCGGATAGTTACCACTGACTTTCACTGACTGGATGTTAGTTTTAAAGCAAAATTTTTGTATCCGAATTAGGGAAAGGAATTTGAACTGAGTCAGAAATGAATTTCTCAACTATAAGGGTATTTCGCGGAGGATCATTCCTGTTGAATAGTTTCTTCGATTGGTAAAGTTTTTGCTGAGTTGACGATCCCGATATCGGATCTTTCTGAGGCGTATATCCTATTGTCGTGGGTCAAACTTATAGAAAGGAAAGATACTGACATTTCATAGTTCAAATTCTCTACACAGAGTCTACTCTAGAGGCAATTTCTGAGGAATATCTAAAGAACTAAAAACAGGGATTTGAAAGGATAAAAATATAGATAACTTAAAAAGTCAAGAGGTTTCACCAAACTTTTATAAAACTTACCTTCAGTGGCCTTGTCAACGGTATACCATACTTTGAACTGTTCAGGATGTTTCTTGGCCAATTCATCCAATTCATTGCGCAACAAAATATCTTTTTCGCTCTAAAAGAAAATAAATGATCGTTTTATAATTGGAATTAGAAAATGATACTACGTCTTTACCTGATTGGCAAACAACAAAGCCAATTCGGTCTTATCCTTCTCGTTGTGTTTCAAAACATCACGGATCAATTGCAACATGGGTGTAATACCAGTACCGCCGGCAATCATGTTGACACGTTTGGCTGTCACAGTCTTGGGAGGATCTTTGCGCAATTTCTTAATGGAGAAGTTGCCATTGCCCAAATATTGCAAACGACCCGATGGACCACGGAAGGCAATTTTATCGCCAATTTTCATTTGATTCAAATACTGGGACATTTTACCACCAGCCGGGAATTTGGGGTGGACATCTTTAAAGTAAACCTTAACAACTAAATCCACATAGCCAACATCATCATCCGACGAGATGGGGGTGTAGGGACGTATCACCAATTCACTGTCAATGGTGGCAATCAAATGAATATGCTGGCCAACGGGCAGACCCAAAATATGCTGATGTGAGGGTAAACCAAAACGGAAACGCCGGGTATCATGACTCAGCTCTTCTCTTTCGATCAAGGGCAGCTGATATTTGTCATTGGCATCGATCAGGGTGCGTAGGCGTGCCGTTCTATTTGGTTCTGGGCGGGATTTCTTTGTGGATTTCTTATTAATTAGATAATGGACGATGACAGCACCGGCTACCACAGCAACAATGCCCACGGCAATGGGGATTATCTGGAAATTAAAGGAAAATGTGGCGATACATATTTTAATAATCAGTTAATAATAAAGGGAGATAAGGAAAACTGAAATAATGAAGAAAAAAGGTAACTAAAAGAAAAGTATAATTTGGAAGAGAATCAAGAGCCTCATCGAATTATCATTTGAATAGCTGTAAAGGATGATTTCTTATCTTCCATAGCTCAAAAATGATAGTATTCCCCATAAATTTATAAATGATGCGTAAAAAATGCAATACCTTGGACAGACACCCAATATAACAATCAAAATTAAAAATCTTCTGTACCCTCACACTGATATGAACGTTTCTATAACCCAAAGCAAACAGCAACAAAAAATCGTACCCCAACTGTTTACTTAATAAGCAAAAAAAAAACGAACGATCATCATATAGAAAATTAAACAATAACAAAACAACTTCTATAGGATGTTGCTTTCATCACCCTAAGTCAATTTTTTATTTGCTTTCGCATTTTTTCTTCGATGACTGAAAATAAAAATTGTTAAACTAACAATTTGAAAGAGCTTAGCGTAGTCGGGAGATATTTAACAGCCGCAAAAAAAAGGTGTTACAGATTAGCCGTAGATCAAAGTTCAAAAATGTTTGTGCATGCGATTTAGTCTGGGGGCAATTTGAGCACACAAGCAGCAGTGCCATTAATAGTTATCGTCATAGAGGTATTTTTTGCTTTTATAATAATGAAAAGAGGTTGGAATCAAATAGTTATTATTTATTAATTATATTACGTTCTATTTTAAGTTGCAGATAATAGGTTGTCTTTGAATGTCAAGAAATGTTAAACGTGAAGCTAATTACATTGGCAGCTACGTCATTCAATTGTTACAACTTTGGTTTGGAAAGTGGAATCAGTTGAATATGGGATTTCCATTGATTTCTGGTGAGAGTAGAAACGACCCTTTGTGAGGGAGGTACCAGGAGGAGTGGACCGATATATTCCATGTTCACATCAGATCTTGGGTTAATAAAAATATTTTGGATTTTATGATCGTTTTGGTCATTCAAAACTTCGACCCTTTGTGGGGGAGGTACCAGAAGGAATGTTCCGATCTCTAGCATCTTTATAACTGATCTTGTGTAGATGGAAATATTGAGATGTGCCAGGTCAGAATGAAATCGGATGTTAATTTCGTGTTTTATGAGTTTAATGAATATTCAAATTTTTGAACCTTTGTGGGTGAGGTGCCAGAAAGAGAAGGAAGATATATCCCAGTTTCACACCAGACTTTGGATTACTAAAAATATTGTGAAGTATGTAATTTGAAGAGAGCCGGATGCTTATTTCGGATTTTATGATCGTTTTGGTAATTCAAAACTTCGACCCTTTGTGGGGAAGGTACCAGAAGGAATGGTCCGATCTCTGGCATCTTTATAACAGATCTTGTGTAGATGGAAATATTGAGATGTGCCAGGTCTGAATGGAATCGCATATTAATTTCGAGTTTTATGAGCTTCATGAATATTTAAAACTTTGACCCCTTTGTGGGGCAGGTAACAGAAGGAGTGGGCCGATATACTCCATCTTCACATCAGACCTTGGGTTAATGAAAATATTGTGATGTGTGTAATTTGAAGAGAACCGGATTCTTATTTCGGATTATATGATCGTTTTGGTTATTCAAAACTTTCACCCTTTGTGGGGAAGGTACCAGAAGGAATGGTCCGATCACTAGCATCTTTATTACAGATCTTGTGTAGATGGAAATATTGAGATGTGCCAGGTCTGAATGAAATCGGATGATAATTTAATGTTTTATAAATTTTATAAATATTCAAATTATTGACCCTTTGTGGGGGAGGTACCAGAAGGGGTGGGCCGATATATTCCATCTTCACACTAGACATTGGGTTAATAAAAAAAATTGTGATGTGTGTAATTTAAAAACAATGGGACACTTACATCACACTTTATAAGAGTTATAATTATTCAAAATTTGACCCTTTGTGTGGGAGGTACTTGATGGAGTGGACCGATACTGTCCATTTTCCCACCTGACTTAGAACTGATGGAAATATTAGGTTTCGCAAAGTTGGAGCAAAATTGGATTATCCTTTCTCTTTGTATGCAGTAAATTATTTCCTTTGAAAATGTTGACATTTTGTGTGAGAGGTACCAAAAGGAGTGGACCGATATTTTCAATCTGTCTGAACTCGATCTAAATTTAGCAAAAATATTACGATGTACCAAGTTTGGATCAAATGGGATATTCCCTTCGAGAATTATCGTGCTCACCAGCCAGCCAGACAGACGGATGGATGTCCTGAAACGGATTTGGTCCAAAGAGACCTAAGATCGAAAACCGTTATTTCTTTGAGGCACGTTTTGGCCGTATCAAATGACATATATCCTCTCTAGCCATATGACTGAGGGTATAATAAATAGTGGTTCCTCACAAAAATTCAGCTTTCAACTACAAATGTTGGTTAGGAATTTCTCAAGCTATGATACTCCTAGAAAATTATAGGATATTCATCGATGATATCTAAACGTCATATGACTGAGGGTATAAAATGTTAAAATTGTCTGTTGCTCAGAAGATTTTCGAGTAACAGCCATTAATCTTTCTATACTGTATGATAAGGCCCAAAACTCGAAAAACATTGATGGGCATGAAGTCAAATAAACCGATTAATTCAGGAGCCCAGCAAACCAGGGACACCAATTATTAGCCTCGATAATCCAGAGATAATTGACAGTCAACCATTTCCTTCATGTATTGGATTTTATCACAGTGATTGACAGTTTTTGTGACAGTTGAGTGGGAATTGAAGGATATTTCCTGCGAAAAAACGGTTGTAATATTACTTTCTGTCAGTATTTCAAATAAATTGTCGTTATATGTAGATGTCATTGTGCCAATCATTCTCCAGACCGCCTTTGCTAAAATAAACAAAATAATCTCCAGTAATGATTTAATTTGTTTCACATAAAAGTGGAAGAATTACCTTTATTGCGTTTTGAAATTTCGCTGTGCGGAGTAGAGGCAATAACTCAAATGGAATACAAATATGGGACCAACATTCAAACTTTAACAACGCCTACGTGACACAGCAAAGCTAAATTTGAAACCAAAAATTATCAAACACAAGACCCTGACCTCTAAGCTTGCATCTCGAAAGATTGAAAAGACAACGAAAAAACAAATGAAATGAAAGTTAATAAAACGTTGATGGCAAACGAAAATGAAAAGATAATTTTGGCATATTAAGGGTCTGCTTTTGTATGACGAATGCGAAAGGAAAACACTATTCCAAAAAGGGTTTTGTAATTTCAAAAAAATCAAAAATATGAAAAACTGATTCTTTCTCATTCACATTGAGGCCCTAAATTTAGGAAGCACTAGGGAACAAGTTTTCGCATAACATCAGCATGTAAATAATATTACAAACAAAATATCACATTTCTATTAAAACATCTTCTTCTCCCATTGGCGAAAGGGTGTCGCCAGCCACATGAATTATGTAAAAAAACCAACTTGAAACAACTTAGAACGAACACTTGTCGAACAAAACTTACATCGATTTCATCAACTTTGGGTGCCATGTTTCTTTTCTTTTATTTATCTTACACACTTAACTAACTACCCGTATTGTTTTTTATTAAACGATCTACTACCTACTACTCTGGTAGTAGTAATATTTCTTTTTAAATAAATTAAATTTTTATATCAGTTTCCCTCGTCTGACAACCAAATACTGAACATTCGTGCTCGGTTTTCTACCGCCCGTTGCTGACATTGCGGCTTTTTCCCTCGATGTTTTTTGAGAGTTCGCATTTTTTATTGTTGTTGCCGTCTGTTATTTAGTTAGAGATTGTTAGAGCACCACACCGGCCTCATATTCCATTGGCAAACAGTCACAACAACAACGAACGAACCCCATTCCCATTGTAATCAGACCCATGAGATTATGTGCCATTATAAAAAAAAACAACAACAACGAAATACAAAACAGCAAAAAGCCCGCGCAATATGATGATGGTGATAAGAGTTGCTGGCCTCTCTTAAATGAAATGGTAATGAGCGAGAGAGAGGGCATCTTATTTTATGTGGTTGATTAAGAGACATAACAGGTCTGGATGTTTACAATTTAACTAATCAACCGGCATTTCATTATGCAAACGAATAAGTAAATGGAATAAATTGATTAACAAAATTTATTGAAATAAATAATAATAATAATTGATATTAACAATAAATGTAATTTTTTTAAAAATGGATATGGAAAACTGCTTTTAATTATGAAATAAATGACCAAACATTGCTGCAAGTGTTTAAGATTGACATATAGAGGGTGAAATGAAAAAACTGCAACCAACTTCATACTGATGTCATTTCTAAGCCTCTCGTCCGACAGCTTTAAAAATTATTCCAGTGATAGCTCATTATATTGTTTACAAGCGTACAAAAGCATTTTGGTGAGAATTTTCCAGAGAAAATAGTTAATCTTGATGGAATTCAAGCGCGATAATGTGATTTCTTTATATTTGGCTGAAAAACGACAAGTGGCTATTGTTAGAGCACTCCAGAATTTAAATGTGAATAAATCTTTCTCGTACCGTCGCTCGTTACCGTGACACTGGTAGAGTAGCCCGACGTCAAGGAAGTGGACGGAAAAAAACAGCAACATTAGCAGAAATGATTCGAAAAGTAAAGAAGCGACTTGATCGAAACCCGAAGTTTGATGCTATTTCCGACAATTTTGCTTTCATTCAATAAAATTTAAAAAAAAATGAAAAAATTATGTCGTTTGACTTTGTTGAATTTTTTTATCTCACCCCGTACAACATCCGATTTATGTCGACATGACATATCAATGTTCCCAATCGTTGATGCATCTACCAATATTCTTCTACCATGATTGTACCTATCCTTTGGCATGAAATGCTTGTGCTTAATTGCGTTCGGATAGAAATCTTTTATAATATCGTAGCAAGTAAGAAAACTTCACCAAAAATCCTTACCCAAATCTTTCGGGGTCCTTAAAATTATACATGACTTCGAAAATATTTGTTTTTTCCTTTTTTTAGCTTAGTATTGTAATATGTCCATGACTTAACAAATTACATACTGTTAAATGAAAACTCCCAACTCTGTACAAGAGTGAGTGGCAAACGTAGGTTATCAACAAATTAGTTAATACTACTATTGAATTTGAGAAGCACAATTATTTGCTGATATGAATTAGAGACGAAAAAAACTCTCTCAATTATTTTGCACACAAAAAAAGTCACGCCATCAGAGATAACATCTATCTCTTTGACTCTTGTAAGAGATTTTGTTAAAAAATTTCTCTTTTATGAATAAAACTGGAAGAGAAACAGAGAAGTCTGCCCAACACAGAGAGTGTGCAATAATTTCAAGGTTATCAAAAGTGTGCACTCGTCATCGTCACTGGCACATTCAATTTAAAAAAAAAACTAATTTTGCCACCCTCATCGGATGCAATACAGCTGGGGCTGTTGGGTATTACGTAGTTACAATAATATATATAAACAGCTGTTTGGCTATTATGGGCGGTATGAGTCAACTTCGGTGGATGCACTACATTGTGGATGAATGAGTTAAGTACGGCAACAGATATGTGAAAAAGATAGACTAAAAATATATGGGGTCCAAATTACAAAATGGGATGATAATAAAATGATCTTTCTGCCACGTTTTAGTAATCGCTACCTTCAAGAAAAAAAGTATTTTCCTTTTGATGTAAATGGATAATGAATGAAATAATTTGCTTTCACTGCATCTTTCGATTGGTGGCTGTTTTGCCACTAATGACAAAAAATGACGTTATATTGCTTTAGTTTCATATCAACCTAACCTCAAATTATTAAAGTAGGTCATGGCTTTTATTTACTTCCAACTTTAAGAAAAATTTCTATTGTTCTCTATTTACCTTTTAATGTAATTATATTTACATTAACTATACGTAAAAAATAATGATCTAATAACCCAATACATACATAGCACACCACCCACGACCGTACCACCTCTTCTATTCCATTCGTTACAAAATTCTATTAACAGACTATAATAATGCAATTATTAATAAAATGCCACTTGCATGAAGTCATTTCTTTCCATAACCTCACCGCCAGCTTCACACCCTCAATTGGCATCTCATTTACAATCGCAATTAAATTTTTCTTCTACAATGTGAAATGTCATCAATCATAGGAACGAGAATCGCCGGCGGCCACTTAGAATTCCTAAAGAGTTTGTGTCACCAACCGACGACGACGACTCATGACATAAAATCACGGCAGACTTGAGATTTTTTCGCCTGAAAATAAATGCAAATAACACCTGTCGGTCGGTGGTAGAACAGAAAGAAATAAATGCGTCGGTCTGCGGTGTTTGGCACAAGTCATCACAATGCAAAACAATACGACGACAACAACAGTGGTGTATCAACAATGTCTGTTATGAACGAATACCATATGTGTGCATGATGTGGTCTAATGTCGGAAAATTATATTCATGATTACCCATCTATATGTGGAATCATAAAGGCAAATGACTTAGACGTCGCAGTTATTTTAGAATAATGCGGTGGCTGACAATAAAAAAGTGTGAAATTATTGAAATTGAGGTGACACAGGGTGGGTGAAAGGGGTGAAATAATTAAAATTGTTCAAATATACGTTGTACCTTAAAATGGGTTGGTTGTATGAAAAGGGTTTTTCCAATAAATAATTCAAATGGTTTTTGGATTTTTATGCCATATGGCTAGAGAGGGTATGTATCATTTGATATGGCCAAAACGTGCCTCATTGAAATAACGGTTTTAGACTCTAGGTCTCTTTGGACCAAATCCGTTTCAGTACATTTGGAGTCAATCTAGCGATGTCCGTCCGCCGGTCTGTCTGGTTGGCTTGTGCGCACCACAATTTTCGAAGGGAGTATCCAAACTTACATCGTAGTATTATTGTCAAATTTAGATCGATTTCGGATAAGGGATAAGGATATAGGTCCACTCCTTCTGGTACCTCCGCCACAAAATGTCCATATGTTGAAAAAAAAATAATTTACTGCACAGAAACAGAAAGGATAATTCGATTTTTCTCCAACTTTTCAAATCCTAATATTTGCATCAGTGCTAGGTCAGGTGCGAAAATGGACTATATCGGTCCACAATATCACAACAATACCATCAACACAAGATCTGTTATAAAGATAATAGAGATGGGACCATTCCTTCTGGTACCTCCCCCACAAAGGGTTAAATTTTTGAATAACCAAAACGATTATAAAATCCGAAATAAGCATCAAGTTCTCTTTATATTTCACACATCCATTCAGGTACCTCTCCCACAAATTTTGAATATCCATGAAGCTCATATAAAGCGAAGTTAACATTCGATTCTACTCAGATGGTACATCCCAAAATTTTATCAACACAAGAGCTGTTATAAAGATAATAGAGATCGGAAATTTTTTCTGGTACCTTCCCCACAAAGGGTTTAAAATTTTGAAAAACAAAACGCACAAAGAAAGCGAAATGAGCATCTAACTCTCTTCAAATTTCACACATTGAAAATTTTTTGCTAAGGTAAGATCTGTTGTAAAGATGATAGATATCTGGCACCACCTCTTGGTATCTCACCCACAAAAGGGTCACAATTTCCAATACCTATATATGTTACCTCACGCATATTTCCACATACGAATTGGTCAATATTGTCCAACTGCTTCTTAACCTCCTCCCTAAAAGGTCAACAATTTGAATAATCATAACTCAATGCAGATGTATATCCCCATCTGTCGGCAAAACCGACTGATACTATTTTACTTGTTCCAATTTTTTTAAATTTATGGGTCTTCAGTTCCGGAAGATAGGAAAATTTCACACGTCTTCTAAGGATAGAAGACCTATTCAAAATAAAATAATTTCTTCCGTATATCATCTGTAAATAAATCAAATAAATCTTCTATTGTTTGAAGAGGTTTCTATTGAACCCTTTAAACACTAATTACACTATTCAAATATCTTCCGTATGTCCTCAATAAATAGTAGACCTCTTAAGCCTTCTCCATAAAAAATGTTTCAATTGACCTTTTTTAAAAAGAAGACGTTTTATACCTTCGTAGCTTTCTATTCAAGTCCTTCTAAAAACATTAGATAACTGTTTAAAATATTCTTCAACAGAAACATGTGTTGGTACCCATATTGTGACCACATGATAAGCTATATTCTTAAGAATTATAAATTTGCTTTCCAAAATGTTAAAATGTTATCCAATACAGATTATCATTCATGTATCTGCCACTAATAATGACATAACATTGGCCATATCCCTGCTAATGTTCATATTTTCCATAACCCTTACACTGAACTTGAACTTGTATCTGACCAGTACGAAAAAAATTAAAACAAAATGAATTTCACAATATTTAAATTTAGACAAAAAACGTTCATACTTATTTACTTACATTATCATTAATTGGACGAGCCATTGGGTAAGGTTATGGTCAAGCTCTTTCACAGCAACACAAGCCTCTATGGTTTGATGGCAACGTTTGGGGGTAAAAATGTTGAATAAAATGCCAAAATAATTAAAAAATATTATTATGCAATGTTCCCACAATAAAGGCAGACAGCCAGGCAGATGGATGTATGTCAGCAGTACTATTCCTCCCTTATGTTGTTCGTGTGTGTCAGTTTTCCATTTGAATTCCACGAGTATCTATACAAAAGTTCTAGTATTCTTCTTTTTTATTGTTGTTGTTTTTAGTTTTCTTTTCAAGGCACTTGGAAATGTGAATGGTAATTTCTTGTCTTCTTGTTGGGTTCAATGTTCTTCTGTTGGACAATTTGAAATTTCACTTATATTTGTGTTATGCAGCCAGAAGAATTCCAATTTGCTATTTTCGGTTTTCACTTGACACCACAACAACCAACTGGCCAATATTAAATGGATGTTTTTCTTTGCCAATTTTCACTTTTTCTTTGGAGTAAAGGAATTGTATCTGTTAGGTCTTTTCCACACTCTGTACCCGTTGTGACTGACCGATGATGATGCACTTAGTTTTCTGCGTTGTGTTGGCCAAATGTCGGAATGCTTTCAGTTTTTTTTTGTTCTCCGCTCTTTTGTTTAGCTCTCAAACAACCACTGACGACAGGCAGTCAGGCAGATGTGGAAATGCTTTTGCAAAGAATACACTACTGACGTCTTTTGTACACACTCAATGCCCGGTAGCTGAAAATAGGGGAAAATGGGAAATGTATTTTTTTTTTTCTTTTAAAAAATGGGGTCTATATGAGGTAAAATATATGAGCTCTTGTTATGAAATATTCGTTTTATGATTATCATGTTTCAAAATTTATTTTTTTACTTTAAATGTGGAGCCTACTAGGATCTATACTCCCAACTTAAGATTTTTTTCTAGGTCCAGGCTTTGTACCTCACCAAGAGTATAAAAAGTCAAATCCATCTAAATATTTTCAAAAAATAAATTTTTGTTTTTAGAATATATATACAGGACTTTCAGGCGTTTTTATTGTCTTTTATTTTGAAATGGTCCGCCAGTACCATTACCACTCACATTACCCTATGAGGTGATTTGAAACATGATTCGTTTTTATGAATATAGCATGGAATATAGGATTTCAAAAAATATTTTTTTCTGTACATTCATATTTGAATCAAACATTCCCATCTCTGGCTAACTAAATTCAAAAATATTTCGGGTATTTTTAGACATTTCGCATAGTATAAGAAATTTTTAAAGTATTTTCATAATACACATAAATTCGCACATAAAATTAAATTCTCGAAATATTTTAAAATATTGCATGATTTATTAACAGATTTTTTCTTGAAAAAAAATTAAATAGTTATGGGATTCGAATCAATTTTCCTGTTCCAGAACTACAAGAATGTAAATGTTTTGACTACAGTAACCGATTTTCCCTTCATGTTATCGGAGTAAATTGCAAAACTAGTAGATATAGAAAAGAAAAAAAATTTAATTTATGTCATTAATGAAAATTTAATTTAGAAAATTTAATATAGAAAATTTAATTTATGTCATTAATGCAGTAAATTAACGATGAACATATGCCTATGATCTATTAGAGATTCTCTAATTTTTACATAAAATAAATGGAAGAATTATCATAAATGCCGGAAATGTACAACAAAATTTCCATAAAATTGCAGAATTACACACTGAAGTACTAATTTCCTACGCCACTGTTTCAAGAATAACAAAATTTTCTCTATCTCTCACTTCCCACTTTCTCCTCTGCAAATAGTTGGGCCCTAGCTGTCATCTCTCTCACTAAACTATTTGCTAGAAATCTTATTAGATAATAAATTATATACTATAGACTTTTTTTGTTTTTGCAAAGAAAATAACATAATTTTACGTCAGAATTTATAAATAAATTAGATCAATGGATGACAAAACAATGTTTTTTATCAACTTTTCTTTTAGAAAAAACACCCACACAACTGCAAACGTAAACAAAACCGGCTTTAACACTGCAAATTAGACAATAAAGTGGAACGATTTTCTCGGAGCGGCGCACTTTCTATTTTGTCGGCGGTGAAGAAAGATAAAGATAACTAAATACATATTAAAATATATATACATATATAGAGCCATTTTTTTAATTTTTATAAAAATTTGTTGAAAAGCATGCTATTTGCCTGTTATTTTTCTTGTTAATTGGCAACGATTTTTAGCCGATTTTAGGAGACATATTCGTAGGCGGCTTACATCTGAAAAAAAAAAACAATAGGTTGCGGTGTTTTAAGGAATTGTCCTACGGATTGGGTTTTACCAACTGAATTACGAATTACAAAAAGTGGCATTTACTCATGGCTCATAATTTTTACTAATGCTTTTTATATGTTTTGATTTAGCTGCTATCAGACGACAAGGATTTCAAGGGCTAAGTACATAAGAAGCTTGAAGTCATGGCTTGGCATATTAATGTCAAATTATAATGGAAAACGACGGCTGGATTTTAGTGCGGCTCTGTAATCCCTTTGTGAAATGTCACAAAATATGCCCTTTACATTTGTAGTGTCAAATTTACAATATTTAGAAGTTATCATTTAATGTTAAAATATATAAAATTAAAATTGCGCTACCAAGTCATCCATAAAGTATTATATTTTTTCAGAAAATACAATATAATCTCAATGTAGCTGAAGGAAATTAAAAAAACATATTCAATTGAGTCATATGTAAAGTGGCAATACAATAAGTAACAGCACGTAAAAAACCCTTATAAATATATAATAACAAATAATTTATCAAAATAAAGCGTTAAATTTAAAATATTATTCCCTTTGGCTTCTTCTCTAATCAGAAAAGAACTTTAAAAATGTAAACGCAATTTGTTTCCATTTAAGTTACATACGTCAGACGCTATACGCCGCCGCTTTAATTATGACATAAATTCATTCAACGTCGTTCGTGAAACAAATGACACAGGCAACCGTCAATGACTTATGACGCCGTACAACGAATGCGATGAGCTGACAACGTGAGCTAACCCATTTCTTTCTCAAAAAACTTTTGACCTAACCAGTCATGGCGTAAGTGAATTTTATTTTAATAAAATAAATTTTAAAATATTTAAAACATCTTAAGTGATAAATTGAAATTTAATGTACAGAAATGTAGATAATAATAGCATCTTTGCGATTTTTGAAATATTTTGAAGAAAAGGCAATTGCAAACCAGCTTTATGGAATTTTCAATATTCATTTAAGTTTGGAAGCAATTGCCAGATGAAATATATAAAATTTTACCCAGATTATTGACTGCAATTTAATATAGGTTAATAATCTTTAACAAAATAGAATTTTACATTGTATTCTATACAAATTGTTAATATTTTAATGATTTTTTCCAAACCAACTAACCACGTGTCTTTTCTTTTTATTTCTTTTACAGTTCAAAGGTTTCCCGTGATACGCTTTACGAAAGCGTCAATGCTATCTTGGACTTCTCCAAGACCAAGAAACGCCGTTTCTTGGAAACCGTTGAATTACAAATCGGTTTGAAGAACTACGATCCCCAAAAGGACAAGCGTTTCTCCGGCACCGTCAAGTATGTTGAAGATGAGTTAATACCTGCATGATTTGAACTCCAGTTAGACAATTTGGATTTGATTACCTTATTTTTGGGAGAAGAGTTGTCTTTCTGGGGACCTCAGATCTGCAGGAAGTCAAGTGGGGTTGTACGTCGCCCCATTTGGCGGACCTGTACTCAGGGTCTTTAAATCAAACTGAGTAGGTTTGATTGATTGTTAGAAATCAATCATCCGCCCCATATTTTATAAATTTGAAATTTGTTCATTTTCCCAAACTACGCTACCTTCTATTTCAAGCATGATGGAGGGGTTAAGTGTAAGTTGTAATTAAATTGATAGCTAAAGAGTTCGTGGACTCTTGCACATAAAGTTTTGTGAAAGAAAAGTTTTATGGGGATAAACAATACCCCAAAAACACCATATTTCTTTCATGAAACTTTCTGTGTGGGAATCCAACTTTTGTAAAATGATGTTATACAAATATGCATGTATTACCTGAAAACCTCAGAGCCTTTGGTTTTCATGTGGAGTATAATTCACTGATTACATTAAAAATTGTTCAATGAAATTGTTAGCTTTGATACCTGGATTTACTAATGAGTTTTCATATTTTTTTTTCTCTTACAGATTGAAGCACATCCCCCGCCCAAAAATGAAGGTCTGCATCTTGGGTGATCAGCAACATTGTGATGAAGCCAAGGCTAACGGTGTTGAATGCATGGATGCTGAAGCTTTGAAGAAATTGAACAAGAACAAGAAGTTGGTCAAGAAATTGGCCAAATCTTATGATGCCTTCTTGGCTTCGGAATCTTTGATCAAACAAATTCCCCGTCTCTTGGGTCCCGGTTTGAACAAGGCTGGCAAGTTCCCTGGTCTTTTGTCTCACCAAGAATCCATGATGGCCAAGATTGAAGAAGTCAAATCTACCATCAAGTTCCAAATGAAGAAAGTCTTGTGCTTGTCTGTTGCCGTTGGCCATGTCAACATGGAACCCGATGAGTTGGTGCAGAACATCCATTTGTCCATCAATTTCTTGGTTTCTTTGTTGAAGAAGAACTGGCAAAACGTTCGTTCTTTGCACATCAAGTCATCCATGGGCCCACCACAACGTTTGTACTAATTTCGTTTTAGAATTTTTATAAAATTGTGTGTTTGTGTATTTGTTTACACAAAAAGACAAGTCAACAGATGTTTGTAAAATAAAGACTAAGGAAAACAGAATTTTGAATTGGTTTTTTTTTATTTAAATGCAGGGGTAAAATATGGAGATGATGATTTTGACTTAAGGAGAAGGGAATGATATTGAAGATAGAGGGAGGTGATAGAACGAAATGATTTATTTTCAATTCAATGTACAGTAACCTAGCCTATAGGGTGATGGACGGTTCCAGAAACTTCTATACGTGACTACTCTAAGGCTCTGATCTGCCGAGAATGCAAATCGTTATCCGAGAAAGCAACAAACCCAAAGGAATCATATACAACATATTCAGGTTTCCGTATCGCTTTTATTCAAATTCGAATTATCTGTGTGGACAATCTGGGCAATGCGATTTCGGTTTTCTTCAGCCGCCTGCGCATCATCCTGCTCCACACTTTGGCAGCTATCCAATTTAAATTCATATTTATTCAGATCACAACTTTCACTCCACTCTTCGGAATAGATTTCGCCCAATTGTTCTAAAATATTGTGTAAAATGCAACATGCCCTGGCAATGAGACCCTTGGATTGGGGTTCTATAAATTCCGTTGATGACAAAATTTGCCAACGACCAAATAAACGTTTCAAAGCTAATTCCCTGAATATATTCAAATAGCTTAGGGCTGAATTGAAATCACGTTCATATGATTGCCGGGGTTGGTCGTATTTTTGCATTAGCCAACTACGTAGGGGATAATTGTCTGGGGCCACCACAAAGTAGGGTAACTGGTCATTTCGGACAGGTATAGTTTCCAATTCATTAGTTTTTCGTAGGAACATCAAAGGTTCCCGTTGAGCCACTTCTACTTTGCGAAACTGCAGCCGATTATCAATTAAAGTCTGTACAATAACACGTTCCACGTCATTGGACCGACAGCCAGCTTCCGAATATGCAAATGTTGGCAATTCAAAAACACACAAAACCCCCAGGCAGCAAGGAGGCATATGGGAAGCTTTTGAGAATCCTTTGCATATTCTCATGATTTCATCTTGGTCCCGGGGCATGCTGACATAGTGCTGCTCAAAGTTATCTATCAAGGCATTAACGAATTCACACAAAGCTGACCTCACATAGGCCGCAGGCTTATTGTAAAGCAAACCTACTGCACGAAACGTTTTCCCCGATGCCAAGGTATAAATGCACATGGCCACAAATGCTTCCATAGTTTGCATTTTCTCATGCTGGTCAATTTCGATTTTTGTTTTCAGACGTGAACAAATCGAATTGAAATTCTCCTTTGTCATGTGAAAGGCATTGATCCATTGTTCTTCGGTGAAACGACTTAGGATATCCTTGAAGAAATCAAATTTGTTCTTTGCCAGCGATGATGATTCCACCAGGCCTTCTCGGCATGTTGTTTGCTTTTGGGACTCATCGAGCAGTTTCATAAAAACTTTGGGTTCAATACAAAGTGGGAAATTCTCCAGGAACTGGGTTTGTATTTCAGCCATCATTTGCATGAAAAGATTTCTCATTTGTTGATGTCTTCTGCGGCGTCTTTGTATGGATCTTCTTCTGTGTGTGGCAATGAAATTCTGATAATTGTTAAGGTGAAGTCTCAGTAATGCCAGGGAACTGTGCAGCTTGGCCTTGTGCTCGCCTTCGTATCCCATTGCAATTTCTTCCCATGTTTGTACTTGTCTTTCGATTTGCTGGAAATGTACGGAAATTCCGTTGGCGTGGCACGAGATTTCTGAAACAAAATTAAGAGAAGTATGCCTTGAAACTGTGCATGGAATTGTACAGGAAGTTCATGGACACTGTTTAGGGACTTACCTTCGTGCTCCATTGCTTTTGTATATCGACAACAACAAAGCCGGGTTATTTATTCAACGGCAGAAATAACCGAAATCTGGTTACAAAGCTTTTATTGGGAAAGCAACGTCGTAGGAGTTAAAAGCAAAGTGTGAATAAATGATAAAGATCAAAATGAAAACAAAAGCATCGAAAAACAATAGGGTTCTAAAGGTCGAGAATGAACTAAGAGTAATCAATTGAAGTATTCACTGTGGAGAGCAACACAACTAGTTCAATAAAATTAGCATATTTTCTTCATTTACCCAGTGTTAACACAATCCAACTGGGATTTATCAAATTTGTTAAAATGTTAAATAATGAAAACAAAAGAACAAAACAAATTTTATAAAAAAGGAATACAAAAATTACTAATTTAAAGAAAATATAAATATAAGCGTCGTTTTAGAACCAACCATTTTTATAATTTTCATAAATTTTCTCAAAATGTAGTGAAATTTGTAGCCGAATTCAAATGCAAACGATCCTCAAGATTTTCTGCTTAGAAAAATATATTTAATAATAGCAATAATATGGTTTGTTTCAGATCGGAAAGAATGTAAAAGTTTTCTCTACGGAAACCGATTTCCCCTTTATGATATCGAAGAAAATTGCATAACTAGGAGATTCTAGGACATCCACCAAATTTTTTGAAATTATTCCCAAAAATCGCAGAATTTTTTTTGTTTTTTTTTTTTCAACCTAATGAAAAATCACGATTTAGTGAAAATTTTGTGCAAAAATGATTTTCTAAGCACTTTCTGGCAAACATCGTATAATTCGTGGGTTTTTAATAATATTTTTTACAACATTTTCCTAAAAAGTATTTTTTAAGAAAATGGCTTTTTTTATTAAAAAGAGATTTCTAGAAAATATTTTCTCTTGGATAACGAATATTTATTTTTTAAAGGGCTAAGTACATAAGAAGCTTGAAGTCATGGCTAGGCATATTTTGTGACATTTCACAAAGGGATTACAGAGCCGCACTAAAATCCAGCCGTCGTTTTCCTTTATAATTTGACATTAATATGCCTAGCCATGACTTCAAGCTTCTTATGTACTTAGCCCTTAAGAAATTTATTTCAAGAATCTCCCAATTTAAAGTCGTAAATTTTTTATTTTTTTAAAGAAATCGACCATTTTTATTAACATTTATTTCAAAAAATACTCTTGGGAATATTGGGAAGTTACACAGAATATTTTCTTATGAAATATTTGAAAAGTTTCAATAGTTACTATGCAAATTTGGACATGTTAAAAGTAGTTGCACGGTAAAAGACTTTTGAAATGTTGATTTCGGGGAAGTATCACCCATTTTAAAAATTTTCTGATTTAATTTGATTACCATTTTTACTAATCTTTCGAGTGGAGAGAGACAGATAAGGTAGATTCATGTAAATTAGCGAACAAAGCTATAGGTGAGAATACAGAAAAGGTTTTTTTGAGTGGCTTAAGTCATAGGCTGGCTTCTACTGAAATTCTCACTTCCTTTGCAAAAAAAGTATACTTTTTTGATAATTTTGTGGAAATTATTTCATGATTTTTCATTACAATTAAAAATAACTCCTAAAATCCAACTATGTAAACTACATATGACAGCATTTCATTCCACTTTATATATGAAAACTAAATGCTGTGAAAAACAAGATTTCACAAAGCCCAACGCCATGCAACACAAAAGCTACGCCGTCGCACAAAAACCCCAATAACTCTGTAATGTTTTGCTGTTGTTTCTTTGTTTTTATTCGATTTGTTTTCATTTTTACATTCTAAACAAAATAAAATTTTGACGTTAACGTCTGCGCAGCTCCAGCGACGTCAACGTCAAGGAGTGTGTGACAAAAGGAATACCAGAAAAATTCTTTCTTCCACTGAAAAAATGTCAAAAATCAAATTTTTGTAAGAATTTTCAACGTTTGAGGAAGGAAAATTGCAATTTGGGTGCCAGGCAATAGAAAAACGATAAATTACATCAGCCTCTAAAAAGATTTCACGAGAAAAAAGGTTTTTTACGAAACAACACAATGGCCAGTGGAGGAACTGTGAATATTGGTGGTAGCGGTGGAGGTGGTTGTGGCGGCATGAATGTAAATCTCCAGGCCTTGCAGACATTCCATCAACGCTGTGGCCATCGCATTACCCTGTCCAATGGTAATCGTACAGCTTCCAGATCGGTAAGGGATTTCAGTCAGGCCCTGGTCTTTAGTGCGGAGCCTTTGATCGATGATGTCTTGTTTGAGGTTGTCATTGAGCGGAAGGTGGGTATTGGGAAAAGTTTTTTGAACTTTCATTGTTTGTCGCCTTTTGTAGTAGACGTTTTCTTTGTTTGCCTTTTTTAGAATCATTCATGGGGTGGTAGCATTGAAATTGGGGTCACCTCTGAATCACCCGATAAGTTGGAATTGCCTTCTTGTGCCACGGTAATGCGTAATGGCACATGGGTTATGTCGGGCATAGATGTTCGCAAGGATGGCCTGTGTCTTACCGAGTTCTATGGCGTGGATTTGGAGACTCTCAACGAAAATGATAGAGTTGGGGTGATGCGCACCTCCAACAATGAGTTGGTGTTCTATGTCAATGGGGAATCGCAGGGAGTGGCAGCTGTTAATATGCCGAAGACATTGTGGGCTCTGGTGGATTTGTATGGGAGATGTGTGCAGGTTTCCATTTGCCCCACCGATGGCAATGGTGTTTGTGGAGTAAGAAGTGCTTTGGAGTAGTGTTTAATTATTTGGAGTCTTATGTTTTGTTTACGCCAGGAATTGCCGGATGAGATACCCTCACATACCCAGCAAATTGTCCAGAACATAGACGTGGATGTCACGGTTACCAGCTCATACACCCCCAGTGGTCCCAGTGGTGGCGGCGGCCAACATACATCTGCAGATGCCCCACCCTCATTAGCCAATTCATCTATCTTGAATTTGGCCAATTTTGGTGCCACCTCAACAACAATTGGCTCCTCCTCACCGGGTGATTATTACGACATGAATGATCGCTTGAGATTTCACACACGTTGTGGTTCTTTGGTTAAACTTTCACCCAATTGTCGTTCGGCTGAAAGAAGGCGTCCATTGGATGAGTTCAATAATGGTGTGGTAATGACCCATCGCCCGTTGAAGGATAATGAGTTGTTCGAAATACGCATTGACAAATTGGTTGACAAGTGGTCCGGGTCCATTGAGGTGGGCGTTACCACACACAATCCTACGGTCTTGCATTTTCCAGCCACTATGACAAATATGCGTTCCGGTACGATTATGATGTCCGGTTGCGGCATACTGACCAATGGCAAGGGCACCAGACGGCAATATGGCGAATTTAATTTGGATGAGCTGAGAGAGGGTGATCGTGTGGGCATGATGCGCAAGGCCAATGGTAATTTACATTATTATATTAATGGCCAAGATCAGGGGGTGGCTGCCACCAGAGTGGCCTCAACGCTGTGGGGTGTCATCGATCTGTATGGCATGACCATCAAGGTGACCATTGTTGATCGCGATGAAAGGGAACAGCAGAATTTGGTGACAAGAAGAAATAACATGATATCCACCATCAATGCCTTGGGGGCATCTGTGGGTGGTTTGCAGAATGTCATGGCAAATGGTAGTGGCCTGGCCAATTCGGCAGCTCCCACACCGGTATTGAGTTTATTGAGTCCGGAAAGTGAAGTGGCTGCCATGGCCGATTCGGGACATGCTGGCACGGCAAATCCCTCAAGGAATGATGATCGTTTGACATTTCATCCTTTGTGTGGTTCCCATGCAACGGTGACGCATTCGGGAAGGACAGCACTGAGACCAAAGTAGGAGGGGAATTTCTAGCCTTAGGAGGTCCTTCTAAAAAATATTTTTATTTATTTTCTCATTGCAGTGCCTCTGATGACTTTAATAATGGTGTGGTCTTGACCAGACGTCCTCTGCGGCCCAATGAATTGTTCCAAGTGCGCTTGGAACGTGTGGTGACCAAGTGGGCGGGCTCAGTGGAAATGGGTGTTACCACTCACAGTGCCGAGGAATTGGACTTTCCCTTTACCATGACCAATGTGCGGTAAGTAAGGGGAACGGAATTGCTTTTGGGGATGTATTTATGAATCTGAAATATCTTTTTAGAACCGGCACCTGGATGATGACGGGCAATGGCGTCATGCACAATGGCATTACTGTCATCGAGCAGTATGGCCAAAATTTGGATCGCCTACAGGTGGGCGATCGTGTGGGAGTGGTACGCAAGGATGATGGCACGTTGCATTTCTTTGTCAATGGCGTGGATCAGGGTCCGGCGGCCACAAATGTTCCCGAACGGGTCTATGGTGTTATTGATCTATATGGCCAAGCCGCCCAGGCCTCCATTGTGGATACCTCAGAATGCAATAGTCCTGACACGGGAAATTCCACTATTTCCAATACCACATTGTACAGTGAAACCCCCTTGAGATTCCACAGCATTCATGGCAAAAATGCCAGTATTTCAAATAGTGGTTTGACTGCCTCCAGGCCCAACTCTTTAGCAGAGTTTAATGATGCAATTGTCTTTAGCAATCGCCCGTTGAGGCAAAGGGAATTGTTTGAGGTGTGCCTGGAGGAGGTGGTGCGCCATTGGTCGGGTAACATAGAAATCGGTGTGACCGGTTCGAGACCTGAGGATATACAACTGGCTGCCAATGCCACGGAAATGGATGCCAACGACACCATAATTTTGTGTGGTCCCATGATTTTCCACAATCGCAAGAAGTTGAGGAGCAATGTTTTGGTGGATTTGGACACCCTGGGCACTGGGGCCAGGGTGGGAGTAATGCGCAATGGCGACTTTATACATTTCTTTATTGATGGCATTGATCAGGGTCCAGCATGTGAATGTCGTTCACCCAATGTCTGGGGCGTAATTGATTTGTATGGCCAGTGTGCCCAGGTTTCGTTGACCCAGGCCCAGGCGGCAGATATGCGGGCGCCCTATGCCACCAGTGAGAATTCCCAAAGCTGTCAGGCTACATCGGTAATTCAGCCTACCACCTTGGAGACGAAACATCGTTGGACATGTATTTCGGGAAATGTGACATTGACCCAAAACTGGACCGTGGCATCGCGTTTGACCGGGGCCTCAGCAGCCCTGTCAAGATGTGTGGTGTTTTCCGAGCATCCACTCAGTGTGGGTTCGCCGTTTGAGATTAAATTGGTCTCCCATAATCCCTTGTTTGCGGGTGAGTAAGAGGTGTATTTTCTAAATGGAAGGATTTTTTAAAGGTTTTCTTTATTTGTAGGTTGCCTCAGCATTGGCATTACCGATCTTAACCTGGCCGATGATAATGTACGCAAAAACATACCGCTGAGTATTAAACGCATACCAGCCAATGTCTGGTATGCTTCGGGCAATGAGGTGCGCTACAACTCAACGCTTTTGCAAAGATCAATGACCTCATTGGAATGGCTAAGGGTGGGGGATCGTATTGCTCTGGAATTGACACCGGCCAGAACATTGAAAATATTACTGAATTCCGAGGATATGAATATACAATTTCAAAATGTTCCGAATGTGAGTAGAGAGACCTTTGAGAGGGATAAGGAAGATAGATTTTAATTTTATTTTCTCCTTTTCTAGGATGTCTATGTGGTGGTGGAGTTACAAGGTTCCACCATGGCTGTTCAGGTTATTTCATCCCAGGGTCCCACCTCACCCCTACGACCTTTTAGTTTACGTTTACAGGATTCTTTGGAATTTGGTGTAGATCCCTTGAACAAACAAGATTCCATGTTGGAATCCATTGATTCAGAGGCTCTAGTCTATGAGTTTTCAGAGATTTGTGGTAAAAATATACGTCTGCTGGAGGAACATCGTTCAGCCATGCGTTATCAGTCCTACCACAATGGTTTGGTGTTTGTTACCAAACCCCTGTGCAAGGGGGAGAGCATAAGTGTAAGTCAAGGAACTCAAAATATCTCGTTTTTCTCGATTTTCTAAAAATTTTCTCCTGCAGATTAAAATCGATTCCATTAACAGCAAATGGAAGGGTACCATAGGTCTAGGTGTGGTCGGTCAATGTCCACAAATCTCATCTGGCTCTGCCGCCTTACCACCGTCCATTATACAATGTAAACGTCCTTGTTGGGTGGCCACCCATGACTATATTAACATAAATGGCCAGAAGATTGCCTCCAAGTATGGCGAAGCGCTGGAGCACATACAGCCGGGAACTGTCATCACCATGACCCTGACACATGCGGGCATGTTAAGTGAGTACCTGGAATTTTGCAATAAACTTGCCGTATATTTTTGTATGTTTCTTCTCATTCCAGTCATTATGGTGGGTTCGGTGAATCTGGAAGATTTAGCCTCGGGTTTGTCAAATCATGTCTATCCGGTTTTCGATTTATATGGTAAATGTGAGCGTATAACCATCATCACTGGCAGCGATGCGGCCCGTAATGGCACACCCATTGTTGAGGAATCAACAGCCTTGGAAATTGATTCCATAGATCAAGACTCCAGTATACCACAATGTGAAAAAGCCGATTTGGAAGTTCATGAGAAGGAAACCGAGCAGTCGATAAGTTTGAATGCCCAACAGCCCACTAGCACAGCGGCAATGTAAGAAGGAAATTGCTATTTTATAGAATTTAAAACTCTACCATGAGAATAGTTTTGAATGGACTCAAAGCTCGATTGAGTTTTCAGGAATAATTATAATTCAGAAAAACTTTCAAGAACAAATAGAGCATGAGGCGTGGATTTTTTTATAATTTTTTTTGTAGGACAAGCGGAGCACTAAACGTGGAGATTTTAAGAAAACCTTTGAAGCACAAATAGATAATTAACGTGGATTCTTTAAGAATATTTTCTCAAGAACCATCAGCTCTTTAAAACTTGGATTTTCAGGAATATTTTGTCAAGGACCAGCAGCCTAAGAAACGTGTATATTTTAAGAATATTTGTCGAGGGATATCAGCTCTTTAAACGTGGATTTTCCGATTATTTTTTCAAGGGCCATCAGCTCTGTAAACGTGGGTTCTTAAAAGAATATTTTTCGAACACCCACAGCTCTCTAAACGTGGATTTTTAAAAGAATATTTTTGGAACACCGACAGCTCTTTAAACGTGGATTTTTAAAATAATATTTTTCGAACACCCACAGCTCTTTAAACGTGGATTTTTAAAATAATATTTTTCAAGCACCCACATCCAATAAAACGTGGATTTTTAAAAGAATATTTTTCAAGCACCCACAGCTAATGAAACGTGGATTTTTAAAAGAATATTTTTCAAGCACCCACAGCTAATAAAAAGTGGATTTTTAAAAGAATATTTTTCAAGCACCCACAGCTAATAAAACGTGGATTTTTAAAAGAATATTTTTCAAGAACCCACAGCTAATAAAAAGTGGATTTTTAAAAGAATATTTTTTCAAGCACCAACAGCTTTTTAAACTTGGATTTCAAAAGAATATTTTTCAAGCACCAACAGCTTTTTAAACTTGGATTTCAAAAGAATATTTTTCAAGCACCCACAGCTAATAAAACGTGGATTTTTAAAAGGTTATTTTTCAAGCACCCACTGCTAATAAAACGTGGATTTTTAAAAGAAAATTTTTGAAGCAATCACAGACAATAAAACGTGGATTTTTAAAAGAATATTTTTCAAGCACCCACAGCTAATAAAACGTGTATTTTTTAAAGAATATTTTTCAAGCACCCACAGCTAATAAAACGTGGATTTTTAAACGAATATTTTTCAAGCACTTACAGCTAATAAAACGTGGATTTTTAAAAGAATATTTTTCAAGCACCCACAGCTAATAAATTGTGGATTTTTAAAAGAATATTTTTCAAGCACCCACAGCTAATAAAAAGTGGATTCTTAAAATAATATTTTTCAAGCACCCACAGCTAATAAAACGTGGATTTTTAAAGGAATATTTTTCAAGCACCCACAGCTAATAAAACGTGGATTTTTAAAAGAATATTTTTCAAGAACCCACAGCAAAAAAAAACGTGGATTTTTAAAAGAATATTTTTCAAGCACCCACAGCTAATAAAATGTGGATTTTGAAAAGAATATTTTTCAAGCACCCACAGCTAATAAAACGTGGATTCTTAAAAGAATATTTTTTGTTATTTGAAGCTCTACTAAATATACAATGGGGTGTAGGATATCATAAAGTCGGCCTCGCCCGACTTTAAGACTTTCTTTACTGGTTTTCATTTGTTCTTACATTTTATTGCAGGAACCGTTCCGTCATGGAAAGTGTTTCGGAAAACCTTTTACTCAACATGTCCATTAAGAATCGTACATTAGAACAGAATCGTGCTGATCCCAGCAGTTCCAGCTCATCATGGTGAGAAAAAAATAGAAATCTAATAAAAAAAATTCTAATTCCAAATGAATTCTCTCCCTCCTTTTCCCCCCTTACAGCTGCCTTCAAGAGTCTCTATTACTACAGCATAACACAAATTTGCATATACAATTAAGCCAGAGTACCCAGCGATTTTATAATGCTTTAATTGGATTTGATAATAACTCAAGCTCAGGAGGTCCCTCCACATCCTCAGCGGCAGCAGCTGCAGCAGCGGTGGCGGCGGCGGTGTCGTCAACGGCTTCTGCAACAGCAATTACAAACAATGCCAGCATTCCCTCTGCAAATAGTAATCAAAACATAGACACCAACAAGGAGGTGGAACAAGCCGAAGAAGTCACGGGAGCCGTGGGAGGTTTCTCGCCACGAGACACCTCCGAAACGGGGGCCAACAATGTACGCTGTGCTTCCAAAGATAATTTACATGAACTCAACGAAGAAGCCAATTTGGCTTTGCAGCAGCAACAGCGGCAAGAAAATGAGAGCCAGGATAATAATATTATTGCCGATAATAGCAATGCGGCAGGTTCGGAGGCTGTGGCCAATAATTTGGCCATTGAAATCACCACAGTCAGCGATAGTCCCTCGGCTGAGGTTGAGGAGGAATGTTTGGTGGATGTGTTCAATGATCGCCTATTGCTATTGCGTCAATTACATTTGCAACGACGTCAGGAACAGCAGCGCCTGCAGCAGCAATTGAATTTGGAAAATTCCTCCTCCTCCTCCGCGGCCACCTCAAATCAATTCGATAGCATGCAATCGATTGCTTCAATTGAACGCAAAGATTGTGAATATTTGAAATTGGTACAGGAGTTTCGCAACTCTCTGGTTTTGCCAGAGAGTTTCTTTCAGACCACGGTAGAGCCCATATGTTTTTGCAGCCACTGTAATGCCCAGGCATCGGAGAAGTTACATGGTTGGGTCTATTTCAAATTGAATCAGCAGACGGTCAATTCAAATTCCGCCACCCAACATGCATTGGATACCACAGACATGAATGGCGATTGGTTGCCGTTGTTCTATATGACCCGGGTGGATAAAATTCGGGCAATACTCGATCATGGCCAGCCGCTGCCCATTGATACAAATGGTGAAATGCATTCGCATGGTAGTGGTGGTAATCAAAAAGATGAACCTGGCACGAGGTTGGAGTTGCATTTCACCCCAAACTCCACGGCAATTATTCCGATTAATCAGCAATATAAATATCATTTTTATGGCCAGATATATCAAATTAATACGGCTTTTGAGGTCTATGTTCGAAGGCAGAGTCTTTGTGCCTCTTCGAAATCATCGATGCACGAGACGAGTAAATTCCATGAGGAGCGTAGATCATCTACATCGGATGTGGATTTAGCTGGCTGTTCTTCGGGCAATGCGGCGGCAAGTGGAGGTGGCTCGGCTGCTGGGGGTGGTCATGCAAATCATGAGTTGTATGCCGGTCCCTCAACATCGTTGTCTTCGGCGCCGGTTATCAAAGATCAAACCTGGTTTACCAAAGAGGCAGGGGCATGTGTTATTACGGCATTGATTTTAAAACTGGATAAAATTGGGCCATCAGCCATGGCCACGGGGTCAGCAGCAGCGGCAGCCAACGAAATACATTAAGTTTTTTTAGAAGCAAAGAAAAAATAGGTTCCCCAAAATGATGATGATATTAAATGCCTCTGGATTATAATTTATAATTAGCTTTTAAATATATTTCTATAAATTATTGAAAAAAAAAACAAGATTTGTAAGGCTTAAAAAAAAATTCCCTTTAAAAAATCTGATAACAAGAATATCATGCCCTCTCATTCCCCCTCTCTGTGTATATTTATTTGTTTCCATTCCAAAATTTGTTAAAACAATTTGTATTATTTTTTATTTTGTATGCACAAAGCACTGATTAGCTTTAGTTCCCCAAGAGAAAACATAAAAAAACTACAACGTACTATAATATGTGTCCTTTTTGACTTACTTATTTTCTTAATAATATTACAAAAAAAAAAAAAAACAAAAAAACTATTCGAAAAAAAAAAATATTGTAGCTGGAAAAAAAGGCGAAAAACCAAACAACGTATTGAAAAAAAATATTCATCACACACACACTTCTATGTATGTGAAACAATCAAATGAAATTGTATGAAATTTATGCAATATAAATATATAAAAAAATAAAACGGCAATTCGAATGAATATTGTAAATTTCGAAAAAGGATGGCTTTATTTGGAGAAAAACAAGGAGGCAAGGAACGAGGCCTTTTACATTTCAAGGAAGATTGTAAATTGAAGATTTTTGATGGTGGAATTAAATTTAACAGAAAAAGAAGAATGATTCGGATTCATTGGATGATAAACTTTTATTAAAGGATGGAAAAGGATGAGGAGCCGACCTGTTAAAAAATCCCTTAGATTTCAAAAATTGTGTATTAAAATCCTTGTAAATTCGACATAGTGTATTATTTATATTTTTTTTAAAAGAATATTTCTCAAGCACCCACAGCTAATAAAACGAACATTTTTAAAAGAATATTTTTCAAGCACCAATACCTCTTTAAACGTGGATTTTTTAAAAGAATATTTTTCAAGCATCCACAGCTAATAAAACGTGGATTTTTAAAAGAATATTTTTCAAGAACCCGTAGCTAATAAAACGTGGATTTTTAAAAGAATATTCTTCAAGTATCCACAGCTAATAAAACGTGGATTTTTTAAAGAATATTTATTCAAGCATCCACAGCTAATAAAACGTAAATTTTTAAAATAATATTTCTCAAGCACCTACAGCTCTTTAAACTTGGATTTTTAAAATAATATGTTTTAAAGCATCCATAGCTCTTTAAATGTGGATTTTTAAAAGAATATTTTTCAAGCATCCACAGCCAATAAAACGTGGATTTTTAAAAGAATATTTATTCAAGCATCCACAGCTAAAAAAACTAAGATTTTTTAAAGAATATTTTTCAAGCATCCACAGCTAATAAAACGTGGATTTTTAAAAGAATATGCTCCAAGCACCCACAGCTAATAAAACGTGGATTTTTAAAAGAATATTTTTCAAGCACCCACAGCTAATAAAACGTGGATTTTGAAAGAATATTTTTCGAGCACCCACAGCTAATAAAACGTGGATTTTTAAAAGAATATGCTTCAAGCATCCACAGCTAATAAAACGAGGATTTTTAAAAGAATATTTTTCAAGAACCCGTAGCTAATAAAACGTGGATTTTTAAAAGAATATTTTTCGAACACCCACAGCTCTTTAAACGTGGATTTTTAAAAGAATATTTTTCGAACACCCACGGCTCTTTAAACGTGGATTTTTAAAAGAAAATTTTTCGAACACCCATATATCTTTAAACGTGGATTTTAAAAGAATATTTTTAAAGCACCCACAGCTAATAAAACGTGGATTTTTTAAAAAAATATTTTTCAAGCATCCACAGCTAATAAAACGTGGATTTTTAAAACAATATTTTTTAAGCACCCACAGCTAATAAAACGTGGATTTTTAAAACAATATTTTTCAAGCACCCACAGCTAACAAAACGTGGATTTTTAAAAGAATATTTTTCAAGCACCCACAGCTCTTTAAACGTGGATTTTTAAAAGAATATTTTTCAAGCACCCACAGCTAACAAAACGTGGATTTTTAAAAGAATATTTTTCAAGCACCCACAGCTAACAAAACGTGGATTTTTAAAAGAATATTTTTCAAGCATATGTTTCGAGCACCCACAACTCTTTAAATTTGGATTTTTGAAAGAATATTTCTCAAGCACCCACAGCTAAATAAACGTGGATTTTGAAAGAAGTTTAAAGAATATTTTCTTTAAACTTGGATTTTTAAAAGAATATTTTTCGAATAATTTTGAAGGCCCAATCTACAAATAGTCCTTTCAAATTAACCTCATTTCAATTTACGCTAATGGTAGAGGGAAGAGATTTGAAGCCTCCAAATTTATTGAATTTTTATACCCTCAGCAATATGGCTAGAGAGGGTATACCGGGTGAGATATAAAAAAACTACAACAAGTCAAATGGGATAATTTTAATTTTTTATTTTTTTTAATTTTTATTGAATGAAAGCAAACAAGTAAAAAAGGTTGTAAATTCGGCCGGGACGAACTTTGAATACCCTCCACCATTTGGAACGAATTTGGCAATTCTCAAAAACAATAAAAATCCGTTAAAAATGCTGTTAAAATCTTTAAAATACCGAATGCAGCTATTATATTAGGGTCTATACGACTACATGGACCTGCATAGGTAACATTTGTCATAAGCCATAACAATATTCAAATGCGAAACTTAAAAAAATCGGCGAACAATATCGCTTAAATCATTAAAATACCGAATATCGGGAGGTACCGTTATATGGGGGCTATAAGAGGACTTGGACCTGCACAGAAAATTTTCTGTCTTACGCTGTAGTATTCATTACGAATTTCAAATACCAAATTTGAAACATTTTCGGTGAATAATGTCGCTAAATTTACCAAAATACCGAATATCGGGAGGTATCGTTATATGGGGGATATACCAAAACGTGGTCCTACATGGTTCATTTTCAATACCAAAAGTCCTGCAGACACAACATACATTTGAGTAAAATTTTATCAATCCACTTCAATTCGTTCGTAAGCTAGATTGATTTCCACAGACGGACAGACGGACGGCCATCGCTAAATCGACATAGAATTTTATGGTGATCAAGAATTTTTGGGTCTAAAATGTGTATTTTGAGGTGTTACAAACGGAATGACAAACTTTATATACCCTCCATACCATGGTGGAGGTTATAAAAATGTAGGAAATAGCATCAAAATTTTAGAATAAGTTTAGATTTGTTCGAATTTGTCACCTTGGGCACGAATTGTGGCCTTTAAACGGCCAATGAAAACCACACACGCTGTCCGAATGTTGTTCTGCCGTATTTTGACCCATTCCCGACGAAGCGCTTGCTTGAGGTGGTGATCGACACTTTGGCATTTTTTAGTGTCAACCCTGTCTTTCCAAAATACTACAGGCACAATAGTCCAACGAATTGGTATCCGAAGATTTTGGTGGCCATTGTGCTCTGGAAATGAAGCGAGGAACCTGATTTTTTAACAATTCTTGGGTGGCGGCGCGTGCTGAGTGCTATTGGAATGTCCAATGGTTTAATGGCTTTAATACACCCTCCAGAATATTTTCGAGAAAATATTCGGCATTTTTTATTCTCACCCTGTATGTGTCCGATTGTCTTCAAATTGCACACATCACAATATTTTTATTACCCCCAAGGTCTGGTGCGAAAATGGGATATATCGGTCCACTCCTTCAGTTACCTCCCCCACAAAGGGTCAAAATTTTGAATATTCACGAAGTTAACATTCGATTCCATTCAGATTTGGCACATCTTAATATTTTCATAAACACAAGATCTGTTATAAAAATGGTAGAGATCGGACCATTGTTTCTGGTACTTCCCCCGCACAAAGGGTCACAATTTTGAATAGCCAAATTGATCATAAAATCCGAAAAAAGCATCCCGTTCTCTTCAATTTACAGACATTGCAATTACCCAAGGTCTGGTGTGAAATTGGGATATATAGGTCCACTCCTTCGTGTACCTCCCACATAAAGGGTCACAATTTCCAATATATTAAAAAATAGGAATATTTGCTGAAATCGTAAATGACGCCCAAATGAAGATCTTTAGAGGAAATTTTTGAACAGAATAGAGTTTGTCCTAATCTGGCACGTTGTAATATTTTTATTAGTCTTAGATCAGATACGAATTGGTCAATATTGGCGAATTGCTTCGGAACCTCCCCCATAAAGGGTCAACAGCTTAAATAATCATAACTCAAGGCATAGGGTATAAATCTGTCGGCAAAACCTACTGATACTTTTTTACTTTTTTTTATTAAAAAAATACTGTCGAAAGCCACTCTGAATTATGTGTCAAAATTATTGGCCACTGTGTCCTTAGATTGTATAACCCTATAATCAGTATCCATTCCCACTGTAAAACTTCATTCAGGCCCAAAGTTTGCTAAGGATTTCAATTAATTAAATTTGGATTTCATACCTCTTCCCCCAACATTCCTGTAACCACAAATTACAAAGCTCTATTTATTATCTGCTACACCCATAGGAAATATATGTGTAACTCCCTAAATCCCAGATTTTCAATACGAAATCACAGTGAATTGCAGTTATTTTCAATATTTCAGAGATTGATTAATGTTCATTTGTTAATTCTAGGCTCTTTTGGAAATCCATCTATGCAAAGGTATGACTTTGAAAAACATTGGCAACATTGAGGGTGGAACCAAACTTCTACCTTTCAAAATATGAATTTCCATATGGGTTTTTGCATGTGTTTGTGTGTGGTGTTACACACACAATTCAACAATTATCCTAATTACATGACATTCTTGTCTTATGTTAACAACAAATGAGCCGAATATAGCCAAGTAATGTGGGTTAGATAAACAAAAGTAATAACCGAAAATACATGGAACAACAAAAGGCTAACAACAACAAAATACAGGTGTTTTTCTTTAAGGGAAACAAATGTATGGCGGTTGCATAGCAAACCAGTAGAAGATGTTTTGATAAAGAAATAAGTTCAGGGTCACAAAAGTTTTGGACAAAGGAAAAAGGGAAAAGTGGGAAAAAGACATAAATGAAAAAAAAAAATTAAAAATGAGGAAAAATAGCTTTGACTTCGTGGGGGGTTTCTATTAGGAAATTTGCTATTCTGCACCGACTGAAGATGAATGGAAATATATGTTGAATATTTGCCCAAATGAAATTCTAAATGGCGCCCAAATGAATATTTCCATAGAAAATTTTCTATACGGACAGGGCTGAATAAGGTTACCTTTAGGGAATCTTTTATTTAAATGAAATCCTGAATGGCGCCCAAATGAATATTTCCATAGAAAATTTTCAATTCGGCCAGGGCTGAATATGGTTTCCGTTATGGAATCTTTTATTTACCTCTTTATGTATCGGAATGTGTGCTAAAATTGCAAATGGCGCCCAAATGGAATTCTAAGTGGTGCCCAAATTAAGTCCTAAATGGCGCCCGAATGAAGATCTTCATAGGAAATTCTTGAATTCTACCATTATGTCAGCTATTATTATTTTGAAATCCTAAAGGGCGCCCGAATGAATATTTTCATAAGCTTTCCATTAGGGAATTTTTATTTAGCTCTCATGTATCGGGATGTGTGCCAAAATTGTAAATGGTGACCAAATGAAATTATAAGTGGCGCCCAAAATAAGCCCTAGATGGCGCCCAAACGAAGATTTTTATAGGAAATTTTTGAATTCTGAGGGGTCGGAATAGTGGCTGCCATTATGAAAGCTTTTATTGGAATTCTAAAATGGAATTTCCATTTTCAATTCGGCCAGAGCTGTGTTAAAATCGTAAATGGCGCCCAAATGGAGATCTCCATAGGACATTTTTAATTCTGCCGGGATAGAATAGAGGTTGACATTATGAAAGTGTTTATTCAACTGAGATTAATACGAAAAACATATAAAAGAATTTAAAAAATATAAAAAAATAATAGAAATATTTGTTGAAATTGTAAATGGCGCCCGAATGAAAAATTCGATTGAAAATTTTAAATTCAGCCAGGTCTGAATGAGGTTTTCGCAAGAAAATCTTTTGTTTAGCTAAGATGTAAATGGCGCCGAAATGAAATCATAAATGGCGCCCGAAAGAAAATATTTATAGGAAATCGTTAATTTAGCCAGGGCTGAATGAGGTTTTCCTAAGGAAATCCTCTCTTTGGTTTAAAGTTGTAAGAATGTCTGCTAATATTGTAAATGGCGCCCAAATGAAATCCTAAATTGGCCCCGAATAAAAAATTCTATAGAAATCTTCAATTCAGTCAGGGCTGAAAGAGGTTATCCGTAGGGGAATTTTTTATTAACTAAACTGTATGGGTATGTCTGCTAAAATTGTAAATGGCGCCAAAATGAAATCCTGAGTGGCACCTAAATTAAATCCTAAATGGAACCCAAATGAAGATCTTTATAGGAAATTTTTGAATTATGACGGGACAGAATAGAGGTTGCCAAACTGAAAGCTTTTGCTCAACTAAAATGAATACGAATGTCTTGAAAGAATAGGAATATTTGTTGAAATCGTAAATGGCGCCCAAATGAAATCCTAAATGTCGTTGGAATGAAAATGTCCATAGAAAATCTTCATTTCAGCCAGGGCTGAATGAGGTTTCCGTTAGGGAATCTTCTATTTAGCTAAGCGGTGTGGGTATGTCTGTTATAATTGTAAATGGCGCCCAAATGAAATCCTGAGTGGCGACTAAATTCAAACCTAAATGGCGCTCAAATGCAGGTCTCCATAGAAAATTTTTAATTCTGACGGGGGAGAATGGAACTTGCAATTTTAAAAGCTGAAAATCGAATAATGAATATCTTGAAAGAATAGGAATATTTGCTGAAATCGTAAATGGCGCCCAAATGAATTCCTAAATGGTTTCTATTGAAAATCTTCAATTTAGTCAGGGATGAATGAGGTTTCCGGTAAGGTATATTCTATTTAGCTAAAATGTATAAGAATGTTTGCTAAAATTACAAATGGCACCCAAATGAAATCGTAAATTTCGCCTAAATTCAGATCTCAATATGAAAATCTATAGAAATCATAAATGGCGCCCAAATGAAAATCTTCAAACTAAATCTTTGAGTCAACCTGGACTACTCTATTTAGTTGCGTTGCGAAATTGTGTATTCAGCTAAAGATGCATGGGAATATCTATTAAAATTGTAAATGGCGCCTAAATGGAATCCAAACTGGCGCCCAAATAAAGATTTTCAACGAAAATCTCATCCCGGCTGAATGAGGTTTCCTTTAGGGAATTCCCAATTTAAATGGAGATGTATAGGAATGTCTGCTAAAATTGCAAATGGCGCCCAAATGAAATCGTAAATTTCGCCCCAATTTGGATCTCGATACGAAAATCTATAAAAATTATAAATGGCGCCCAAATGAAAATATCCCAACGAAATCTTTAAATCAGTCTTGGCTAAATAGGGGTTGCCGCTAGAAAAATTGTCTATTCAGCCAAAGAATCATGGGAATATCTATTAAAATCGCAAATGGCGCCCAAATGAAATCCAAACTGGCGCCCAAATAAAGATTTTCAAAGAAAATCTCCTATTCATCCCAGCTGAATGAGGTTTCCAATAGGGAATATTCTACTTAGCTAAGAAGAATAAAAATGTTAAAATTTTCAATGACGCCCGAATTCAGATCTCAATCGGAAAATCTATAAAAACAGTTATAGGCGCCCAAATTAAACCGTAAATGGCGCCCAAATGGAGATCTCCCAACGAAATCTTTAAATCAGTCTTGGCTAAATAGGGGTTGCCGCTAGAAAAATTGTCTATTCAGCCAAAGAATCATGGGAATATCTATTAAAATCGCAAATGGCGCCCAAATGAAATCCAAACTGGCGCCCAAATAAAGATTTTCAAAGAAAATCTCCTATTCATCCCAGCTGAATGAGGTTTCCAATAGGGAATATTCTACTTAGTTAAGAAGAATAAAAATGTTAAAATTTTCAATGACGCCCGAATTCAGATCTCAATCGGAAAATCTATAAAAACAGTTATAGGCGCCCAAATTAAACCGTAAATGGCGCCCAAATGGAGATCTCCCAACGAAATCTTTAAATCAGCCTTGGCTAAGTAGGGGTTGCCGCTAGAAAAATTGTCTATTCAGCCAAAGAATCATGGGAATATCTATTAAAATCGTAAATGACAAAGGAAAGCCTAACTGTCGCCCAAAATAAAGTTTTTCAAAGAAAAAATTCTATTCATCCCGACGGAATGGGGATTCCGATAGGGAATATTCTTCTTGGAAATGGTAAATGACGCCCAAATAAAATCGTAAATGGCGCAAAAATTAAGTTCTCCGAACGAAATCTCCAAAGAAAATCTTCTATTTATCTTGGCTGTATGAAGATTCCGAAGGGAATATTCTACTTAGCTAAGAAGAATAAAAATGTTAAAATTTTCAATGACGCCCGAATTAAGATCTTAATAGGAAAATCTATCAAAATAGAAACGGCGCCCAAATGAAGGTCTCTCAAAGAAATGTTTAAATCAGCCTTGGCTAAGTAAAGGTTGCCGTTAGAGAAATTGTCGCAAATAACGCCCAAAGAAAATCCAAACTGGTGCCCAAACACAATTTTTTATAAGAAATCTTCTATTTAACCCGGCTGAATGAGGTTTCCCTTAGAGAATTTAGATTTTCAAAGAAAATCTTCTATTCATCCCGAAAGGGGTTTCCCATGGGAAATATTCTACTTAGATAAGATGTATTGGAATGGCTTTCAAAATTGAAAATGGCGCCCGAATGAAAATCTCCAAAGGAAATCTTTAAATTAGCCGGGGCTGATTTAAGGAAATTTGGGAAATTGTCTATTCAACCAAAGATTCTATTTAAATCACAAATGGCGTCCAAATGAAATCCAAACTGGCGCCCAAACAAAAATTTTCATAGAAAACTTTCTATTCAAACCGCCTGAATAGAGGTTGCCGTTAAGAAATCTTCTCTTCAGCCACTGTAAAAAAATATCCATTAAATTCTAAAATGGCGCCCAAATGAAAATCTCCAAAGGAAAGCATGAAAACAGCGGTGGCTGAAAAAACGTTGCCGTCGGGAAATCTTCTTTTCCCTAGGAGAGCTGCTATTCTGTCCCGGCTTTCCTACGGGAACTCCTGTTCAGCCGGGGCTGCAGCATTTATAGGTAAGCCCCTATCAAGCCGGGCTGAATGGCAGTTTTCCTAGGATAGAGAAGATTTCCTGACGGCAACATTTTTTTCGCTTCCCGCTGTTTTGATGATTTCCTTTGGAGATCTTCATTTGGGTACCATTTTCGATTTTCCATGGAAGAATAAAAGATATTCCATAGGAGAGCTTCTATTCAGTCCCTTCTGAATGGGGGTCTGCATAGGCAATTTACTATTCAGCCCTGCTGAATATGGATTTCTATTGGAAATTAGCTATTTATTAGAAATTCTGCTGAATGTGACTATGTGTTTTTATTAGGAAAGGTTTAATATAGTCCTGGTTGAAAACTGTAATACAGCTCTGATGGCTGTATTAGACAAAGTTTTTGTTGTTGTCGTTAATTAATAATGTTGTGAAATGTATTTAGTTTTATAATAAATGTTAACTGCTTATAAAACAAATAATCTGCTCTGGTATTGAGGCAATCATATTACGTTGAAAGCACTAACACACAGCCACGTGTGTGTGTGTTCTTCTTTTACATGACTCTCTGTCCCTGTATGGGTGCATGTCTTGTACAACTCAATTTCCATTGTATGGGTTGACCGTTATTAACGTGATTATTAGAACGAGTTTTATGCATTTATTAACTTTATTTACATTTATCATTTTCCGCAATGGACAGGTGTGGGCGAGAAAAGAGCAGTGCCAGGAGAAAAGTTGGAAATATTTTGGCTTCCGAAACAAAAATGTTTTCACCAGACACGAAGGTTATCTAAAGTTTGAGCCAGAATTGTGAACCTTAACCCCAGAAATCTCTATCACTCCTAACTATGAAACTTAGTAGTCCTGTTTAGGGGATCTGTATATCCTTCAAAATCGTTATAGCCTTTGATTTATTAAAAACCACTTCAAGATCCCTCCAGGGATTCTCTCTTTTAAAATTTCTAAAACTCCCTTTTTCATTTCCTAAAAATCTTTACTCTCTCTTTTTTCCGGCCCCCTGGGGATCAGCTATTACCCCGAGCACAACATTAATAAATTCTGCCCCTCTCCTTATACAAATTGTATAGTTATTGTGCACAGAAAATTTTTTGTTATCTATAATTGGAGGCAGCATTGTGGGCCTTAACCCTAGAAATCTCCATCACTCCTGTCTATGAATCATGTTTAGGGGATCTATATATCCTTCAAATCCGTAATAGGCTTTGATTTATTAAAAACCACTTCACTTTTCTCCAGGGATTCCCGCTTCTAAAACTTCAATTTTTCATTTCCTAAAAATCTTTACTCTCTCTCTCACCCGGTCAACTTGGGATCAGCTATTATCTCGAGCACAACTTTAATAACTTCTGTCAACTTGGACAAGTTGTATGGTCCTTGTGCACAGAAAACACATGTAGTCTATTCTGTCATTGTTTGTTGACATGTCTATGTCGTGTAGCCAACTCCTCCACCTCCAGGTCAACAGAAGTCAGTCGACAATACGGGGTAATAATAATCGACAAATACCCCTGGGTAACATTTGGATTGCCTCTCGGGCTGGTGACTTTTGCTGTTGGCAGTTAAATCAACATTTGATTAGTTGCTGCATAACTTTAAACGGTAACGGTTGGTCAAAAATAAAAAAAAGAAAAAAGAAAATCGGGAAAAATTAAAAAAGGATAAAAAACTAATAACGAGCGCAAGGACTCTAGATCGGGAGAGTTGAGAGGAATAAAATAAAAAATAAATAAATTATTTTCAGAGTTTGGAATAAACAAATAACAATTATAAGTGAGTTTAAATGGAGAATAAATTATTCGGAGATTTAAGAAAATATATCCCTAAATAAGGACAAAGTAAGCCGACGGTGTTGTGGAGATTTGGAAAAAAAATTTTAATTCGGCCTGGCTAATTGCAAGAACTGGAAATCCAATTATCGGTTATGAATTGAAGATTTTCTAAAGGAATCCCAACTCTAGGAGGACTAGAAGGATTCCCAACGGAATTTGGCAGGACTTATAAGAAGTTTTCCCAGGAAAACAATGATTTAGTCGCTGCCGATCTCAATATTTTCTGTGGAAACTTATATTCACCAAAGATGACTAGGATTTTCTATGGAAAAAGATAAATGGCGCCCAAATGAAATCGCGAACCAAGATTTCCATAGGAAAATTCTATACAGCCAACATGAGTTAAAGTTACCAAATGGATATTTCCCAACGGAAAACACCGGCTGTTGGACTGAATAGAAGATTTCCAAGGAAGAAATCTGTGGAAAAGTCGGAGATTTTCTGGGAAAACACTCATTCAACCATGAAATCTTTCTTTGTGTGCCATAACCTAGGTTATGGTTTTGCGAAATACGAAATGAAGAGGAGGAAAAAATGATTCAGCCCCGAATATTAATGGAGATCTTCCTTTGGGTGCCATTTAGGTAATGGTTTTACGAAATGAAGATTTCTATTGGAAACTTCATTTTAGTTAAGATGAGTTGAAGTTACTATTGAAAATGTCTGTGGCGCCCAAATGCAATACTATAAGGCACCCAAATGAAGATTTTCCAACGGAAACAATTTTTCTGCGATATTCCCTAGGAAAACATTTATTCAGCCCGGAATTTTCTATGGAGATCTTCATTTGGATGGTTTTTTTGAAATACGAAATGAAGATTTAATTTCAGCAGAGACGAGTTGAAGTTTCTAATGAAAAATTTTGGTGGCGCCCAAATTGAATACTACAAGCCATCCAAATGCAAAATTTCCAACGGAAACCTCTATTCTGCCGGGCGGAAAAGAAAGTCGGACTGAGTACGATATTCCCTAGCAAAACATTTATTTAGCCCCGAAGTTCCTATGGAGATCTTCATTTGGGTGGTTTTTCGAAATACGAAATCAAGATTACATTTCAGCAGAGACGAGTTGGAGTTTCTATTGAAAAACGTATGTGGCGCCCAAATGCAATGCTATAAGGCACCCAAATAAAAAAATTTCCAACGGAAACCATTTTTCTGCGATATTCCCTAGCAAAACATTTATTCAGTTCTGAATTTCCAATGGAGATCTTCATTTGGGTGGTTTTTCGAAATACGAAATGAAAATTTCATTTCAGCAAAGATGAGTTGAGGTAACTATTGAAAAATGTCAGTGACGACCAAATGCAATAAAATAAGGCAACCAATTGAAGATTTCTCAACGGAAACCTGTTTTCCGTCGGACTGAATAGAAGATTTCCCAAAGGAAATCTATGGAAAAGTCGGACTGAATATTAGATTTCCTAGGAAAACATTTATTCACCCCGAAGTTTTCCTCGGTTATGGTTTTACGAAATACGGTAGAAACTTCATTTCAGCAAAGACGAGTTGGAGTTACTATTAAAAAATGTCAGTGGCGGCTAAATTAATTGCTACAAAGTATCCAAATGAAAATTTCCTAACGGAAACCTCTATTCTGCTGCACTAAAATAGAACATTTTCCAAAGAAACCTATAGAAAATCCGAACTTAATAGGAGATTTGCTAGGAAAACACTTATTCAGCAAAAATAAATAATGATTTCTATAGAAAAACTAAAAATGGCGCCCAAATGAAAACCAAATGAAGATATTCTATGAAAACTTTTATTCAGCAAAGATGAATGGGGGATCTACTGATGGCGCCTAAATGAAACATTAAAACTTGCTATTCAGCTTGGCTGACTAAAAGAAGTCCCAAAAGAAACCTCAATTCAACCTCGGAAGAATTGAATATTTCCTACTGAGATCTTCATTTTTGGGCGCCATTTTCGATTTTAATAGATATTCCTATGTTTCTTGGCTGAATATCAGAGATCTGTGTGGAGATCTACATTTGAGCGCCATTTACGATTTTTATGGATTTTCCTATTTGCCTGGACGAAAATCTCTATTTAGCCTCAGCTGATATCCTTTGGAGATTTTAATCGCCATTTGAGTGCCATTTACGATTTCAAGATATGTTTTTGTAATCTTGACTGAATATCAGATTTTCTAACAGTAACCTCTATTCAGCGGCCTGAAGTAAAGGTTTCTTACGGAATTCTTATTTGGGCGCCTGCTCCGCCACTGATGAATTGAAGATTTCTTGTGGAAATTTTCATTTGTGCAACCCTTAGGATTTCATTTGGGCGCCATTTTCGATTTTAATAGATATTGCAATATAACTTGGTTGAATATCAGATTATCTAACGACAACCTCTATTCAGCCCCTGATGAATTGATGATTCGCTGTGGAGATCCGCATTTGGACGCCATTTACGATTTTTATGGATTTTCCTATTTGTCTGGACGGCAATCCCTTGAAGATTTTTATCGCCGTTTGGGCGCCATTTCCTATTGGAAACCTCGATCAGCCCTGACTGATTTAATGTTTTTTTTTTTGGAGGTCTTTATTTGGGCCCCATTTACTATTTTTTATGGATTTTCTTAGTTGTCTTGACAGCCATAGCTGATACCCTATGGAGATCGTCATCGTCATTTGGGATATAATTTGGGTAATTTTTTGTAATTTTGGCTGGATATCAGATTTTCTAACAGCAGCCGGGCTGAAGTAAAGATTTCCTTCGAAATTCTTTATTTGGGTGCCATTTACGATTCTAACAGATATTCCTGTTCGTCTTGGTTCAAAGAATATTTCCTAATGAAATCGTCGATCAGTCCTGGCTGTTAAAAATTTCCGTTAGAGGTCTTTATTTGGGCGCCATTTACGGTATTAATGGATTTTCCTATTTTTATTGGCTGAATAGATATCTTTACGGAAAACTCTATTCAGCATTAGCTGATACCCTATGGAGATCTCTATCGCAATTTGATATTTCATTTGTGCGCCATTTACGATTTAAAGAAATATTTTTATAATCTTGGCTGAATATCAGATTTTCTAACAGCAACCTCTATTCATCGGTCTGAAGTAAAGTTTTCGCCATTTACGATTTTAATAGATAGTCCTGTTTGCCTTGGTTAAGAAAATTTCCTAATGGGAACCTCGATCAGCCCTGACTGATTTAAAAATTTAATTTGGAGGTCTTCATTTGGGCGCCATTTACTATTTTTATAGATTTTCATATTTGTCTTGGCTGAATAGATTTCTTAACGGCAACCTTTATTCAGGCTTAGCTGATATCCTATGGAGATCTTCATCGCCATTTGGGATTTCAAGAGATATTTTTATAATCTTGGCTGAATATCAGCCGGGCTGAAGTAAAGATTTCCTTCGAAATTCTTCATTTGGGCGCCATTTACGATTTTAACAGATATTCCTGTTCAACTTGGTTAAAAGAATATTTCCTAATTGAAGCCTCGATAAGCGCTGGCTGATTTTGAAGATTTCCTGTGAAGATCTTCATTTGGGCGCCACTTACGATTATTATGGATTTTCCTATTTGTCTTCAGCCTTAGCTGATACTCTATGGAGATCTTCATCGCCATTTGGGATTTCATTTGGCCGCCATTTACAATTTTAATAGATATTTCTATTCATCCCGACCAACCTCTTTTTAGCCACGGCTGAATTGAAGATGACTTATGGAAATCTTTATTTGGGTGCCATTTTGGAAGTAATTTCGGCGCCATTAACGATTTTAATAAATATTCTCATGCAACTTTGGCAGAATAGACAATTATAGACTATAGACTATAGTCATGACTGATTTAAAAATTTCGTTTTTTTGGATTATCATTTGGGCGCCATCTCCCATGCATCTTGGTAGAATGAAATATTTCCCTCAAATATCTAAATTTTGGTGCTATTTACAATTTCATTTGGGCGCCATCTTTAATTTTACACGTTTTCTCCTTTTTATCTTGGCTAAAAAAAGATTTGCCAACGGGAACCTCAAACAGTCCCTGCTGAATTGAAGATTTCTTATGGAAACGGGCCAAATATGTTTTATTGGATATTCCTATTCATTGCAACTCAATAAATAATTTTCTAACGACAGAAATGATCCATCTGCACTTTCTATTCAGCCAGGCGAAATTTAAGATTTCCGGTCGAGATTTTCATTGAGCGCCATCTAGGTTTTCATTTGGGTGCCATTTACGGTTTTGGTGGAATTTACTACTTATCTTGGTTGGACAGAATATTAATCAACGGAAACCTTTATTGAGCCCCGGCTGAATAAGGGAAACAATATGAAGATCTTAACTTGGGCTACCTTTAAAATTTCATTTGGGCGCCATTTTTGACTTCCATTCGGAATTCGTATTCATCGTTGCTGAATTGCAATTTCCCAGTAAAAAGTGCAACTCCGCTGGCAAAAAAAATTATATTTGCCTGGCATCCATTTGCCAGGTAGAGAAAATTTTGACACATTGTTGCTACCACGGCTAGCACGTGCAACTTTGTCGAATCATGGTTTAAATGATTTAAAACAATTCAATTAATATTTAAAAGGGAAGGAGGGGAGTAGGGAACAGCCATTTATGGCAAAGATTAATCACAACTTCTGCTGACATTTAGTGACCGTTTTACATTTGCAGATTTCCTCAAAGTTCACGGGGCCACCGCTTTGCATGCCACAAGTTGCATGCTAAACACTCAACATTATGCAGAAGCGAAAGGCAAAAAGGAAACAGTGGCCTGAAATATTTTCCAACAACAAACTGCAACAAATTGCACGCAAATTTTTAATAGAAATATAAAAGAGACGAGGAGGAGGAGCAGGAGGAAAGACGAATCATTTATTTTTTTCAAACACACGCTTTGCTTTTAACAGCACCCGCAATAAATTTAAGGAAGCTTAAGTGAGAGGGAGAAAGAAAGAGAGAGAGAGATCGAGAGAGAGAGAAAATTTCCCAAAAATGGCAACCGGCATTGAATTGATTTTGGCCTCAGCCCTGTGTCTGTCCTGTGCCAATGAGACCATCACCTATCCCCAAGGATTACTGATGGTGGACCAGAACTACGAAGTGGTCTCTGAGGCTCCCATTGGGGATGTCCTTGATACCTCTCTGGACGATGCTCCGGCCGAAACCTTGAATACATTCCTTGAAAAGGCAGAAAAGCTGACAAAACTCAAAAGCTGGTTGAATGGCCGCCATTTGAAAATTGCCACCCTTGAAGACTATCCGCTGAGTTATACGGAAACCCAACCCGATGGCAGCAAAAAGGGTATGGGTGTATCCTTTATATTGCTGGATTTCTTGAAGGAAAAATTCAACTTCACCTATGAGGTGTTGGTGCCCAAGGGTAACATAATTGGTTCCAAGTCGGATTTCGATGGTAGCCTCATACAAATGCTCAATACCTCGGTAAGTGGTGGCACCCAAGGGGAGGAGTTGCTCAAAATATTTTCTTTTCTTTTCAGGAAGCCGACATGGCAGCTGCCTTCTTGCCCTTGCTCTCCGAGCAGCGTTCATTTTTGTTTTATTCCACCACCACATTGGATGAGGGTGAGTGGATAATGGTCATGCAACGTCCTCGAGAATCAGCCTCCGGCTCGGGTCTCCTGGCTCCGTTTGAGTTTTGGGTGTGGATTTTAATATTGGTTTCATTGCTGGCCGTGGGTCCGATAATTTATTTCTTGATTATTTTGCGCAACAAGCTGACGGGAGACAATAGCCAGAAGCCCTACTCGCTGGGCCATTGTGCCTGGTTTGTCTATGGAGCCCTGATGAAGCAGGGCAGTATTTTGTCGCCGGTGGCAGGTGAGAAAAATTGCGGTTATAAATACAGACCTGTGAAAATACTCTTATACAGCCCTTCTAAATTAGGTTTATTTTTGAGAAAACTCTTATACAACCAAGCTGTATAAGAGTTTTATCAAAGATTAGGGGTTTCGGCAAAAAAAATGATCAGGCTGACTGAATAGAGATTTCTATTGGAAAACTTTTATACGGTTTGGCTGAATAAAGTTTTCGGTGAGAAAACTCTTATACGGCCGGACTGAATAGAGTTTTTGGTGAGAAAACTCTTATACATCTTGGATGATTAGAGTTTTCGTCGAAAAAACTCTTATACTGCCTGATTGAATAAAGTTTTCGTCGAAAAAACTCTTATACAGCCAGACTAAAGAGAGTTTGTGATGAGAAAACTCTTATACAGCCTTAGTAAGTAGAATTTTCTTCTGGCTGAATAGAGTTTTCGTCGAAAAAACTCTTATACAGCCTGGTTGAGTGGAGTTTTCAGTGACAAAACTCTTATACAGCTTGGCTAAATAGAATTTTCCTTCTAAAAACTCTTATACTGCCTGACTAGAGTTTTCGGCGAAGAAACTCTTATACAACCCGAATGAATATAGTTCTCGGGGAAAAAACTTTTATACAGCCTGACAGAATAGAGTTTTCAGTGAGAAAACTCTTATACAGCCTTAGTAAATAGAATTTTCTCCTGGCTAAATAGAGTTTTCGTCGAAAAAAACTCTTATACAGCCTGGTTGAGTAGAGTTTTCAATCACCAAACGTTTATAAAGCTTGGCTAAATAGAATTTTCTCTCTGAAAACTCTTATACTGCCTGGCTGACTAGAGATATTTGATGAGAAAACTCTTATACAGCCTGGCTGAATAATGTTTTTGGTGGGAAAACTCTTATACAGCCTGGCTGAATAAAGGTTTCGGCAAAAAAAAATTCTTATACAGCCTGACTCAATAAAGTTTTTGGTGAGAAAACTCTTATACAGCCTGGTTGAATAGAGTTTTCAGTGAGAAAACTCTTATACACCCTGAGTGAATAGGAGTTTCTTTCTGAAAACTCTTATACAGCATAGCTAAATAGCGTTTTCTCTCTGAAAACTCTTATACAGCCCGAATGAATAAAGTTTTCGTCGAAAAAATCTCTTATACAGCCTGGCTGAATATAGTTTTTTGCCCAAAAACTCTTATACGTCCTGGTTGAATACAGTTTTCCGTGGGAAAACTCTTATACAGCCTGCCTAAAGAGAGTTTTAGGTGAGGAAACTCTTATACAGCGGGGTTTTTTGTTAGAAAATTATACAGGCCTTCAGAACAGAGTGTTTCACAAGAAAATCTTCTATTCAGCCCGGATTCCATGGGAAATTATTGAAAAATTTCCCTAAATTGGCTATGCATTTATTTTCATATTTAGTTCCTTCCACCTCCCTTATCCGCCCGGATCAATTACATGTTTGCTCAGCTATTATTACATTATCGTAATGTCATCAAACGGAAATTAGTTCTGATGAAATGTATAAATATTTGCATTTGAAATGAAATCGATAAATTTTAAACAAATAAAAAAAAACTGCACTACCAGAGGTCACATACACGAATGTGACTGTGTGTGCGTGTGAGAGAGTTGAATACATGCCAATAGCCAGCACACACACACACAAATATTGACACATTCACAGGACAGGCGGTTTTAATATAATTTTTATTATTGGTCATTTGTAGATTCGACACGTTTACTATTTGCTACCTGGTGGATATTTATAACCATATTAACATCGTTCTATACGGCCAATTTAACCGCTTTCCTCACGCTATCCCAGTTCACGTTGCCATTTAATACGGTCAACGATATTTTGGCCAAAAATAAACATTTTGTATCGCAGCGCGGCAGTGGCATAGAATATGCAATTAAATTGGTAAGAATGCGAGAAGAAGAAGTGGGTCCGAGTAAGAAATATCTCCATTATTAATGTTTTGTTATCTTTGCAGACCAACGAAAGCCTGTCCATGCTAAGTGGCATGGCAACACGTAATCTGGCCGTTTTCACTGGTGACACCAATGATACCCTGAATCTGCGTAAATATGTGGAGAAATATGGCTATGTCTTTGTGAGAGATCGCCCTGCCATTACCCATGTGTTGTATGAGGACTATTTGTATCGCAAAACCATTAGCTATGACAATGAAAAGATCCATTGTCCATTTGCCAAGGCCAAAGAGCCATTCTTGAAGAAGAAACGTTCATTTGCCTATCCGAGGAATAGTAATTTGAGTGATTTATTCGATCGAGAGTGAGTATAAGAGATTTGTCGGAAATTTTCTAAGAGTTTTTCCAGAGGAAATTCTGTTCAGAGGGGTTGTATAAGAGTTTTTCAGGGGAAAACGTTATACAGCTCAACGGTATAAGAGTTTTCTTATTAAAATTCCAAATCAGCCCAGTTGTATAAGAGTTTTTCTACTGAAAGCTCTATTCAGCCGGGCTGTATAAGAGTTCTACTACCAAAAATTCCAGTCAGCCGAGCTGCAAAATAGTTTTCGAAAGAAAAACTCTATTGTATAAGACTTTTTTTAAAGGCAACTCTATTGTATAAGAGTTTTCCTACTGAAAAAATCTATAGTACAGAAGTTTAAATACTGACAACTCTATAGTATACGAGTTGAAATACTCTTCAAGCTGTATAAGAGTTTTTTTTTTACCGAACTTCATTTTTGTATAAGAGTGTGTCTATTGAAAATTCCCTTCAGCCAAGTGGTATAATAGTTTTTACCATGACCAACTCCACGCCGATGGGCCGTAAAAACCATTCCAATGTCTGTATAAGAGTTTCCCCTGATGAAAGTTATGTTTAACCTGACGGTATAAGAGTTTTTTTTTAATGAAAGCTTAAACCAGCCCAGTTGTATAAGAGTTTTTCTACTGACATCATAAGAGGTTTTAAAATGAAAACTCGTATAAGAGTTTTAATAAAAAATTAATTGTATAAGAGTTTTTTTTTAAACTCTATTGTATAAGACTTGGGATAATAAAAATTCTGTGGTATAAGAGATTTTATAATGAAAACTTTAGCGTATAAGAGTTTTCATAATATGAATTCAATTGTATAAGAGTTTACCTACAGCCAACTCTCTATTATAAGAGATTTTCTACTAAAAATTTTATTGTATAAGAGTTGTCCTATTTATATTTTTTTTGTATAAGAATTCTCCTTTTTAAAACTCTATTCAGCCTGGCTGTATAAGAGCTTATCTATGATGAAGTTTCTCCTGTCCGGCTGTATAAGAGTTGTCACTATGGCAAACTCCATACAACCAGGCCGTATAAGAGTTTTCCCCATGAGAAAGCCAGGCTATATTAACAATTTTTCCATTGAAAACATAACTCATTCTGTCTGTATAAGAGTTTTTGAAATAGTTCCTATGGCAGTTTTCCCATGGGTGCAAAAGAGTTTCACTAGGTAATAGTCTAATTAGCAGGACAGTATAAGAGTTTCCTAATGACAAACTTTATTCTCTCCGACTGTATAATAGTTTTCCTGAGGTAAACTCCATCAAGACGGACTGTATAAGAGTTTTTCAAAAAAAAAAAAACATTCTATCCCTCTCCTCTCCTTAAGAGGTTTTCTAAGGAAAACTTAATTCAGGCTGCTATAGTTCATTTTAAAATTAAGCTGTATAAGAGTTCTTATCCCCAAAACTCTTATAAAATTAGGCTGTATAAGAGTTTTTTAATTTTATTTCTAAAATCTCTTATTTTTTTCCTTCTTCCAGACTCCTTAACCTTGTGGAATCGGGCATTATCAAACATCTCTCGGCCAAGGATCTGCCCAATGCCGAGATCTGTCCCCAGAATTTGGGCGGTACTGAACGCCAGCTACGCAATGGCGATCTAATGATGACCTACTACATTATGTTTGCCGGATTTGCCACCTCCATTGTGGTCTTTTCCACGGAGATGCTGTTTCGTTATCTCAACAATCGTCGAGAATCGAATCAATGGGCCACGCATGGTGTGGGTCGTACACCCAATGGTGGGTTGCTTAAGCCATCCAAATGGTTTTGGCGTCGTAGCAGTGAATCGAACAAACAATTGCTTGGTAGTTCCCATTCGAATAATATTACCCCACCACCGCCTTATCAGAGTATATTCAATAATGGTAAAGGGTTCCAGGAGAACACCAGCATGCGTCGATGGCATCATGCGGCCAATTATGGAGCCAATGGGGCGGGAGGATTTGGTGTGCTGCGTCCGGTGGGTAACTATTATGGCAATGATGCTGGGGCTGGTAGCTCCACGAATTCGGCGGCGTTGGAATCGACGGGTCTTAGGAAGTTCATCAATGGCCGGGAGTATATGGTCTATCGCACACCGGATGGTCTCAATCAGCTGGTACCGGTTAGGGTGCCCTCTGCTGCTTTGTTTCAGTACACCTACACGGAGTGAAGGGAAGGTAGAGGGGAAGGAGAACAAAGAAAAAGAAGATTGGAAAAAATATTTTTTGAAATATATTTTGGTGTGTTATTATCCTGTCTAGCTTAAGGTTCGATTTTTATTCTGTGTAACTTTGTTTTGAAATAATAAAATTTAGTAGATGTCTTGAAATTTTGAAAAGTGTTTTGAAACCAAATATTAGACAGTGGGGCGATACCAAAAACCTACTTTCCATCTATAAATAGGACAATCAACACCTTGTTGGCCTTGAAGGCCAAATTTTTTTCCTATCTCTGTTAGGCAAATACTAATTGCCCTGCTCCCCCTGCCCATGGTTGGGGGGAGTAGCCAACATTACAAAGCGCCATCTAATTAATGTCCAGTTTCACAACTCAATTATGGCCATTCTGTGGAACTGATTGATTGACCTCCAGGCGGAGGTGTTGCTGCTAATGGTAGTAGGTTGGAATTTTTGGTTACCCTGATTAATTAAGTAATGGTCGGTATTTTTATGAAGGCGTAGCTGTGAGTGACGCACACATACACACACATACATCACATACACCTACCAGGATATTTATCACACCAACACATTGACACACACACATTCATTCGTCAGCAATTCTGTTAAAAGTGACATTTAATAAATTACATTTGAATGACAATATAAAACAAAGACTGCAATTGTCCTGCAGCGGGGGTGGGATTGGGAAATCTGCTACTCGGTATGGGAACAATGGGGGAAAGTCTTAAAGAGAAAGGTTAGATAGAGTTTCCCCTGGTGAAACTCTTTTACAACCTCAATGAATGGGATTTCTCATGGGGAAACTCTTATACAGGCTGGCTGAATAGAGTTTGGAATGGAAAAACTCTTACACACAAAAGAAAACTCTTATACACATAAGAAAACTCTTATACAGTTTTGCTGTTAAAAGTTTTCTCTGGGGAAACTCTTATACCCTTAAACCCCCATATAGCCTCCAATTCCTTGCCCATGACCTCCGCAGCGGCCATACGTCCTGCCACTGCCCCAGTGGCTGTGGGAAGTCCCACTTCTCCCTCAGAGGCGGTATGTCGAGCAAATTCAGGTAGTTATTTTTAGATCTAATACCTAAATGGAAATTTAAATTCCATTTCAGTAGCCACGTCCTCCCGCTCCAGCTCTTTGTCGTCTGGTTCCCCGGTAATGGAATCTGTGCTATCTATGGCCCGTCAAAGACAACACCGCCAAACATCAGGCCCCCATCAATGTCTGGATGTCATCCAGTGCAAATTCCCTGAACTCTTCGTATCGTTCTGCCTCTTCTGTATCCTCGGTTGGCAGCTGTGATATATCCTTGCCACAGGATGGTAAAAAATAAGTCTTTGGAAAATCGAAATAAATATAAATATCTATTAAAAGCCTTAACTCTGAAAATATTTTTTAGGGTTGTTTCTGAGGCGTGAAATTTTGAAATAATTTTTTCAAGCTGTTATATAAGGCGTGGATTTTTGAAATATTTTTTTCAAGCTGTTATATAAGGTGTGGATTTTTGAAATATTTTTTTCAAGCTGTTATATAAGGCGTGGATTTTTTAAATAGTTTTTTCAAGCTGTTATATAAGGCGTGGATTTTTGAAATATTTTTTTCAAGCTGTTATATAAGGCGTGGATTTTTTAAATAGTTTTTTCAAGCTGTTATATAAGGCGTGGATTTTTGAAATATTTTTTTCAAGCTGTTATATAAGGCGTGGATTTTTGAAATATTTTTTTCAAGCTGTTATATAAGGCGTGGATTTTTGAAATATTTTTTTCAAGCTGTTATATAAGGCGTGGATTTTTGAAATATTTTTTTCAAGCTGTTATATAAGGCGTGGATTTTTGAAATAATTTTTTCAAGCTGTTATATAAGGCGTGGATTTTTGAAATAATTTTTTCAAGCTGTTATATAAGGCGTGGATTTTTGAAATAATTTTTTCAAGCTGTTATATAAGGCGTGGATTTTTGAAATAATTTTTTCAAGCTGTTATATAAGGCGTGGATTTTTGAAATAATTTTTTCAAGCTGTTATATAAGGCGTGGATTTTTGAAATAATTTTTTCAACTCTTATACAGCCCGGGCTGAATAGAGTTTGTCATAGAAAAACTCTTATACAACCGGGCTGAATAGAGTTTGTTATGGAAAAACTCTTATACAGCCTGGCTGAATAGAGTTTGTTATGGAAAAACTCTTACACAGCCGGGCTGAATAGAGTTTGTTATGGAAAAACTCTTATACAGCCTGGCTGAATAGAGTTTGTTATGGAAAAACTCTTATACAGCCGGGCTGAATAGAGTTTGTCATGGTGACAACTCTTATACAGCCGGTCTGCACAGAGTTTGTCATGGTGACAACTCTTATACAGCCGGTCTGCACAGAGTTTGTCATGGTGACAACTCTTATACAGCCGGGCTGAATAGAGTTTGTTATGGAAAAACTCTTATACAGCCTGGCTGAATACAGTTTGTTATGAAAAAACTCTTATACAGCCTGGCTGAATACAGTTTGTTATGAAAAAACTCTTATACAGCCTGGCTGAATAGAGTTTGTTATGGAAAAACTCTTATACAGCCGGGCTGAATAGAGTTTGTTATGGAAAAACTCTTATACGGCCTGGCTGAATTGAGTTTGTCATGGAAAAACTCTTATACGGCCTGGCTGAATTGAGTTTGTCATGGAAAAACTCTTATACAACCGGGCTAAAAAGCGTTGACCATGGGGAAACTCTTATACAGCCGTACTGAATACGGGTTTCCCCGAAAAAACTCTTATACTGAAGTTTTATCATATTATGTGGAAATTCTTTTGGTTTCCTTATGTTTCCTTATTTAATACCGATGCCTATTTCCCATCGCTGCAATCCACTTTGCGTTGTTGTTGTTGCCATGCCAACGATTATTTCGATCTATCGATAGTTGTTTATTTACAAAACACGTAATAACATTTCCAAAGGTCAGACATAGAACTCTCCAGAGTTTCGGTGGAAAAAAAAATGCCCCATCTGGAGGCACCCCAAGATTTGAGCGACACCTCACCGGGCCTTTCAATAAATCAAGACTTTTTACCCAATCAAGGACCAAATGCCCAGCAACAACTTCCGTTACCATTGCCCATAGCTCCGGTTGCTGCTGCCCAAATACGTCTACCAACCCCGGAGCCTCGATATCAGCAGCACATCGACTTGGCCGTCCAGCTGCAGAACAATCAGAATTTGCTGAGAAATTTGCCAGCCCTGCAATTTGATCCGGATATAATTGAGAATGAAGAGGACAATCATATGCCGGCCTATGTCCATATGCTGCCGGTGGTGTTGCCGGCCCAGGCACCGGAGCCCACGTTGGATGAATTATTGGTAGGTATTTTGATTCTAAGAGGAAGGATTTCATAGTTGATTTTTGTCCTTTCCAGAGACGTGTCACAGGACGCACGGATTTGCATAATGTGGAATCGGTTAGATTGCGTGTCATCTCCTATACCCTGAGCCTGTCCCATTTGGCCATGTTCCTGCCACGCCTACAGCAGCTGGATCTAAGCGGTTCGGTTTTGTGTACTCTAAGGGATTTGGGTTATGGTCTGATCCATCTGACCCATTTGAATGTCAGCAATTGTGGTCTGAATAGTTTCGATGGTACTGGAGGCTTCCCAGCCCTAAGGGTCCTGGTGGCCGATGATAATATGATCCAACGTACCGGAACTTTGACTGACTTACCTTTGCTGCAACATTTAAGTGTTCGAAATAATCGCATCAGCGAGTTGGGCATCCTGACATTGCTGGGAATGAATGCAAATTTATTGGAGGTGGATCTGAGGGGAAATCCGGTGTGCCATCAGCCATTGTATCGTCAGACCTTGCAGCGTAGTATTCCAAGTCTGGAGATATTGGATGGTACTCCGATAAACAATCAAGGTGCAGGGCAAGAGATGAGCTCTCTGGATACAGATGATGTATCTTCATTGTCAAGTGCCTCCAATTCCTTGCCCATGACTTCTGCGGCGGCCTTACGTCCTGCAACAGCCCCGGTGGCTGTGGGAAGTCCCACTTCTGCCTCAGGGGCGATATGTCGAGCAAATTCAGGTACTTATTTTTGTATCCACAACCAAATTTCGAAATTTAAATTTTAAATTGCATTTCAGTAGCCATGTCCTCCCGTTCTAGCTCTTTGTCGTCTGGTTCCCCGGTAATGGGATCTGTGCTATCTGTGGCCCGTCAAAGACAACGCCGCAAACACAAGGCCCCCATCAATGTCTGGATGTCTTCGGATAGCTCCAGCTATTCCAGCGCAAATTCTCTGAACTCTTCGTCTCGTCCTACCTCTTCTATATCCTCGGTTGGCAGCTGTGATATATCCTTGCCCCAGGATGGTAAAAAATAAAGTCTTGGAAAATTGAAATAAATGTAAAGACCTATTTAAAGCCTGGATTCTGAAAATATTTTTTAGGGTCGTTTTTGAGAAGTGGATTTTTTCAAATAACTTTTTCAAGCTGATATATAAGGCGTGGATTTTTTCAAATAATTTTATCAAGCTGTTATATAAGGCGTGGATTTTTTCAAATAATTTTTTCAAGCTGTTATATAAGGCGTGGATTTTTTCAAATAATTTTTTAAGGCGTGGATTTTTTCAAATAATTTTTTAAGGCGTGGATTTTTTCAAATAATTTTTTAAGGCGTGGATTTTTTCAAATAATTTTTTCAAGCTGTTATATAAGGCGTGGATTTTTTCAAATAATTTTTTAAGGCGTGGATTTTTCAAATAATTTTTTCAAGCTGTTATATAAGGCGTGGATTTTTTCAAATAATTTTTTCAAGCTGTTATATAAGGCGTGGATTTTTTCAAATAATTTTTTCAAGCTGTTATATAAGGCGTGGATTTTTTCAAATAATTTTTTAAGGCGTGGATTTTTTCAAATAATTTTTTAAAGCGTGGATTTTTTCAAATAATTTTTTAAAGCGTGGATTTTTTCAAATAATTTTTTAAGGCGTGGATTTTTTCAAATAATTTTTTCAAGCTGTTATATAAGGCGTGGATTTTTTCAAATAATTTTTTAAGGCGTGGATTTTTTCAAAAAAATTTTTAAGGCGTGGATTTTTTCAAATAATTTTTTAAGGCGAGGATTTTTTCAAATAATTTTTTAAGGCGTGGATTTTTTCAAATAATTTTTTAAGGCGTGGATTTTTTCAAATAATTTTTTAAGGCGTGGATTTTTTCAAATAATTTTTTAAGGCGTGGATTTTTTCAAAAAAATTTTTAAGGCGTGGATTTTTTCAAATAATTTTTTAAGGCGTGGATTTTTTCAAATAATTTTTTAAGGCGTGGATTTTTTCAAATAATTTTTTAAGGCGTGGATTTTTTCAAATAATTTTTTAAGGCGTGGTTTTTTTCAAATAATTTTTTAAGGCGTGGATTTTTTCAAATAATTTTTTCAAGCTGTTATATAAGGCGTGGATTTTTTCAAATAATTTTTTAAGGCGTGGATTTTTTCAAATAATTTTTTAAGGCGTGGATTTTTTCAAATAATTTTTTAAGGCGTGGATTTTTTCAAATAATTTTTTAAGGCGTGGATTTTTTCAAATAATTTGTTCAAGCTGTTATATAAGGCGTGGATTTTTTCAAATAATTTTTTAAGGCGTGGATTTTTTCAAATAATTTGTTCAAGCTGTTATATAAGGCGTGGATTTTCTCAAATAATTTTTTAAGGCGTGGATTTTTTCAAATAATTTTTTAAGGCGTGGATTTTTTCAAATAATTTTTTCAAGCTGTTATATAAGGCGTGGATTTTTTCAAATAATTTTTTAAGGCGTGGATTTTTTCAAATAATTTTTTCAAGCTGTTATATAAGGCGTGGATTTTTTCAAATAATTTTTTAAGGCGTGGGTTTTTTCAAATAATTTTTTAAGGCGTGGATTTTTTCAAATAATTTTTTAAGGCGTGGATTTTTTCAAATAATTTTTTAAGGCGTGGATTTTTTCAAATAATTTTTTAAGGCGTGGATTTTTTCAAATAATTTTTTAAGGCGTGGATTTTTTCAAATAATTTTTTAAGGCGTGGATTTTTTCAAATAATTTTTTAAGGCGTGGATTTTTTCAAATAATTTTTTAAGGCGTGGATTTTTTCAAATAATTTTTTCAAGCTGTTATATAAGGCGTGGATTTTTTCAAATAATTTTTTAAGGCGTGGGTTTTTTCAAATAATTTTTTAAGGCGTGGATTTTTTCAAATAATTTTTTAAGGCGTGGATTTTTTCAAATAATTTTTTCAAGCTGTTATATAAGGCGTGGATTTTTTCAAATAATTTTTTAAGGCGTGGATTTTTTCAAATAATTTTTTCAAGCTGTTATATAAGGCGTGGATTTTTTCAAATAATTTTTTAAGGCGTGGATTTTTTCAAATAATTTTTTCAAGCTGTTATATAAGGCGTGGATTTTTTCAAATAATTTTTTAAGGCGTGGATTTTTTCAAATAATTTTTTAAGGCGTGGATTTTTTCAAATAATTTTTTCAAGCTGTTATATAAGGCGTGGATTTTTTCAAATAATTTTTTAAGGCGTGGATTTTTTCAAATAATTTTTTAAGGCGTGGATTTTTTCAAATAATTTTTTCAAGCTGTTATATAAGGCGTGGATTTTTTCAAATAATTTTTTCAAGCTGTTATATAAGGCGTGGATTTTTTCAAATAATTTTTTAAGGCGTGGATTTTTTCAAATAATTTTTTCAAGCTGTTATATAAGGCGTGGATTTTTTCAAATAATTTTTTCAAGCTGTTATATAAGGCGTGGATTTTTTCAAATAATTTTTTCAAGCTGTTGTATAAGGCGTGGATTTTTTCAAATAATTTTTTCAAGCTGTTATATAAGGCGTTGATTTTTTCAAATAATTTTTTCAAGCTGTTATATAAGGCGTGGATTTTTCAAATATTTTTTTCAAGCTGTTATATAAGGCGTGGATTTTTTCAAATATTTTTTTCAAGCTGTTATATAAGGCGTGGATTTTTTCAAATATTTTTTTCAAGCTGTTATATAAGGCCTGGATTTTTTCAAATATTTTTTTCAAGGTGATATAAAAGGCGTGGATTTTTTCAAATAATTTTTTCAAGCTGTTATTTAAGGCGTGGATTTTTGAAATAATTTTTAAGGTGTTATTTAAGGCGTGGATTTTTCAAATATTTTTTTCAAGGTGATATAAAAGGCGTGGATTTTTTCAAATAATTTTTTCAAGCTGTTATTTAAGGCGTGGATTTTTGAAATAATTTTTAAGGTGTTATTTAAGGCGTGGATTTTTCAAATATTTTTTTCAAGGTGATATAAAAGGCGTGGATTTTTTCAAATAATTTTTTCAAGCTGTTATTTAAGGCGTGGATTTTTGAAATAATTTTTAAGGTGTTATTTAAGGCGTGGATTTTTGAAATATTTTTTAATGTGTTATTTAAGGCGTAGATTTTTTCAAATAATTTTTTCAAGCTATTATATAAGGCGTGGATTTTTTCAAATAATTTTTTCAAGCTATTATATAAGGCGTGGATTTTTTCAAATAATTTTTTTCAAGCTATTATATAAGGCGTGGATTTTTTCAAATAATTTTTTCAAGCTATTATATAAGGCGTAGATTTTTTCAAATATTTTTTTCAAGCTATTATATAAGGCGTGGATTTTTTCAAATAATTTTTTCAAGCTATTATATAAGGCGTGGATTTTTCAAATAATTTTTTCAAGCTATTATATAAGGCATGGATTTTTTCAAATAATTTTTTCAAGCTGTTATATAAGGTGTGGACTTTTTAAATATTTTTTATGGTGTTATACAAGGCCTGTCTGTTCCATGTGTGACATATAGATGATGTCCTGGCCCATGCCTGCCATAATGACGAACATTGTTCAATATTTTGCATCATTTTGCCTGAAGAGATACTTCTTTTGTTTTTTGTTGTTTTTTTTATTGAATTAGGATGACGCTAACGATGATTATCACAACAATGCCAGTATGGCCGGGTTACATGGTTTCACATTTGGATGATGATGACGGCTATAATCTTCTTATTGCTGTCGTTGTGTTTGTTGTTGTTGTTCTCCTTGTTTATGTGGAACATTTTGGTTTTGATGCGATTCCAAAAAAGTGGTGCACCTTTAACGAGCCAGCAGCCACGAAGGCGTCGTCAATGGATACGGCTGGGTGTGTGTGTGTGGACATAGACAGTGGTACAGAGGAGGGCAAAATGGGGGAAAAACTTGAAGATTTCAAAACGAAAACTTAATTCAGCTGGGCTGATTAAAATTCCCTAAGGGAAGATCCCTATTCAGGCAGGCTATAAAATTCCCTAAGGAAAGATAGCTATTCAGCCAGGCTGAATATTTTTAAATAATTTTTTTAAGGTCCCATATGAAACGTGGATTTCTTAAATAATTTTTTAAGGCCCATTATGTAAAGTGGATTTTTTAAAATAATTTTTTAAGGTCCCATATGAAACGTGGATATTTTAAATAACTTTTTTAAGCTCCCATATAAGACGTGGAATTTTATTTTTTTTAAATTCCCATATGAAACGTGGATTTCTTAAAAACATTTTTAAGGTCCCACATGAAACGTGGATTTTTTAAATATTTTTTTTAAGATCCCATATGAAACGTGGATTTTTTTAAATCATTTTCAATTTTTTTTTTAAATATTTTTTATGAGGCGTGGATTTTTTAAATTTTTTTAAGATCCCATATGAAACGTGTTTTTTTAAATCATTTTTTTTTTAAATATTTTTTATGAGCCGTGGATTTTTTAAATTTTTTTTAAGATCCCATATTGAACGTGTTTTTTTTAAATCATTTTTTTTTTAAATATTTTTTATGAGGCGTGGATTTTTAAAATAATTTTTTAAGGCCAATTATGAGTCGTAGATTTTTTTTTTAAATTTTTTTAGGGTCCCACATGAAACGTGAATTTTTTTTAATAATTTTTTTAAGGTCCCATATGAAACGTGGATTTTTTAAATAATTTTTTTAAGCTCCCATATAAGGCGTGGATTTTTTAAATAAATTTTTTAAGGTCCCACATGAAAAGTGGATTTTTTAAATAATTTTTTTAAGGTCGCATATGAAGCGTGGATTTTTTAGATAATTTTTTAAGGTCCCATATGAAACGTGGGAAGATCCCTATTCAGCCAGGCTGAATAGAAAGTAGATTCCCTGAAGGAAGATCCCCATTCAGCCGGGCTGAATAGAAAAATTCCAAGTGAAGATCCCATTCAGCCAGGCTAAGTAGAATATTCCCTTAGGGAAGATCCCTATTCAGCCAGTCTGAGAGAAGATCCCTATTCAGTCAGGCTAAATAGCAAATTCCCTGAGGGAAGATACCCATTCTGCCAGGCCGAACAGAAAATTCCCTGAGGGAAGACTGATTAAAGGATTTCCTTTAGAAAAT